TTTTAAGCGTTATTCGTTTAAGTTCTCGGGTCAAAAGCACGTATGCCTAAAATGTGTGTGTATGGTTCCGTTCATAACATAATAGAAAGCACTTTGCTGAACTATAGTGCATTGAAAAAAAAGCTTTTTATTTGGAATTTATTTAGAACAATCAAAGGTCATGTTTGCAAGATAATTTGAAACACTACAATGGTGACAAAATGTTACTACTGTGAAATCTTTGTTCATTCTAATAGTGCACAATGAATAGTTCGGTTTGGATATCGAACTTATAAGAGGGACCCCATAAAAACACGTACGAGATGGCCTGGATACGAATCTAGCTGTGGACATATCTTGTTTCCATTGAAATAATACTATCTTATACAGTTCCATACCTAGATCAATCTGGTGTAGTTCCAAACCCCAGTCCCCAAAATCGTGCCTTTACCTTGCAAGAGGTAACTGAGGTCGCGTAAACATAACACGTGCCGGCAGTGGCAAAAGCACTTTTTTCAGCTTTGGTTCAACTGACAAGGATGATGTACGTATATAAGTAGAAGGTAAAACGCTTTTCATACAGGCATATACAGAGTGACATGAGACTAAAAGTACGAGAGCACCAAAGTTGGGGTCCTGAAAACGACACGCCGTCACATAGAGCCCGGACACGTTTGCGCATCCGCACCAATTAATTATAACTTTTTTTTGGCGCATACTCCGTATTGTATGTGTAGGCAGAGGTCTGCCTAACATGACCCTGTTACTTTTTCAAATTTAACCTAAAAGCGAGCCCATCTGCTCGGCTTAAATACAAATTTCAAATTTATATATATATATATATATATATATAAGAACTGTTGCAGTTTTTTATTATCCTGTTACCCTTTATGGTGAACCTTGTTGCTTCCTGAGCCAAAGCCTTCCTGCTGCGATTCTTTCATCGCTTCTCTTCTTTTTTAAACCCGTTGTGTTGTCTAAGTCATTCCGTCATATTCTCATACGTTTTATTTGTTTATGTCAATCATGCCGTGTCTTCATTAAGTCTAATAAGTCTTCGCGCTACTTTTACCCCATTTCGCCCCTGTGATTATTCCGCAGCTCCAACGTGGAAGTGATCTCGACACTTCCAATTTTTTTCTTCTTTTCTGATTTTTCACTTCCGATTATTAATTAATCAACTAATCCAAGTATTTTATCAAAACAAAGTCAGCAATTAATATGAAATCGTCGGTGTTTGCAAAACCTGTAGAAGGTACCGTATTTTAGTCTCTAACAGAAAATCAGATTTTTGGTACCTATTGCATGAAATTCAAAATAAACCTTTCTGAATAAAATGATTGTAAAAAGGCATCTTTCTCATTGCTTCCATTATCATCTCCATCCAAATTGTCACTCAGTTGAGGCTATAGGATATAACAATAAGGCGTACTCTGTGCATCACGTTCTGATAAGGTAAGAAACGAAATGTTGTTTTGGAAGATTGATCTTCGGCTAGCTTTTTTAAACTCTATACCATAAGTTGTTCTAATTTACGCTATGAACTAGAATTCTACGATTTCGCCAAATCTACAGATAAGGCCACGATCCGGACGTGCAAATAAAGTGCTATAAGGGATCTTGAGGCTGATCTAAACGAATGTTGTTGTAGTCAACGAAAATCGTTAACTTGCGGATCATGCCCTTTTCAATGGTTGCCTATATTTTGTCTTATTGCCTCAGTCCCGATCCGCATATGCCGATGTTATTTTTCAGCGCGAATGAGATGGAAGGCTATTTTCTGATTAGCAGGCTTGTTTCTTTGTCGACTTGACAACCACGTGTGCGTACGTATGTTCGTCGGACGACCGCATCCAAATGGAGACAGTGACCTGTATCCGCTAAGTGATAGGGCTTTCGTGCCGGGTGCACTGTTTACGGCTTTTTTGTTTGTTTGTTTAGCCAATTCCCGTGCCTGTACAGAACAAATACCCTAACTCTTCGATTATGGACTTCCACTCCATACTTGCTCCATTGAGAACTGACAGGACTATAGGGACCTAAAGAGTTTTGCTTACTCTATTGATGAAATTTGGTCAGCTTGATACGTTGCAAATTGAAAAGTTAGCGTATTGCCTGAGGCCTGTAAAAGTATACCTCAGTAACACATTCTGTTCGCTTCTCATTAACTACTGAATCCCGGCTGAGTTCATCTCATCGTCAACGTCAGCATTAGTGATGAGGAGTTACGTTTTTCCAGTTTTAATAAAGTTATAATGATTGTATGTATCTTCGTATACATTTAGGTACTAAGACTTTCGATTTAGTTATTGCCTCCGATATTACTTCAGCGTTCAGTACTTACACCTCTGAAGCTGCATTATTATGTGTTAACTTATCGCAGGTTTTGATGGATCCTGTTCAAAGGCTAGGAGTACCTAGTTATCTGCACGCGAAGCGCAAAATATGCTACGACAATCAACCTATTTAAGTAAGTTCTAGGATCGTGAAACAAGTGTACGTTTTGTATCATGAGATAAGCCCAGTTCGAGGGAAGAGCCACAGCTTTTGTATCTTAGTGTGTTATACTAAGGGGGATCGTAACCTATTTTTGAGCTGATATGGATAACATGGAAAAGCGAAAAATGAACGAGCTATCTATAGTAAACAATAGCGCAAATAGGAAAATGTTATGGAACGCGGCCTCCACACGGCCGTTCTTGCCGTAACACGTACATTTAATGTAAGTATCAGGCTTGTAAGTAACTGTCTAAACCTCTAGGACGTTCTCCAGGATGCATGCAACGCGACCATGTTATTACCGATGGGATGGCGTTTGCCATCCCACCACGACTTTGGGTTTCTTCTAGGCTGGAAAATTTCCTAAATCTGTGTAATCTTCTAAATAAACAGTAGGCCCACGTGTGTTTATTTTTGCCTTGTATTAATATAGGTGCGCTAGAAATATTCACATAGCATATAACAATGTTTTATACATACGAGATGTCAACTCTCGTGTACGATATTATTTCAAGGCTAAGATGACTCCATTTAAGTATAAATTGAACGCGTATATTGATACTGAACGGTAGCACAGTATGGGGTGGAATAGATTCCCGAACAGCACATGGATTAGAGTAGAGATTAGGGTTCGCATCACTGGCTATGGAAAATGCAATTAGTGAAGGGATTACATTGAGTGTAAAGTAATTAACAGTTACACGAAGGCAATGAATCAAGGGAGTCACCGTTAATGGTGAAACGGAAGAAAACACAGGGTTGTTCTTGTGAAGCACATTACGTATACAGAACTAGTACCCCCTACCCACTAGCGGGGTTATTTAGCTTTCAATGCTTGACAACATTTAGATATTAACCCATATGCTGGTCAAGCGATACCACGTGCACCGTGAAATTAAACATACAGTTTAAGTTGACTTCAAGCGGTTGATGTAATTTCGATTTGTCTAGTTTCGTTGTAACATATTATCGACAAGCAGGCTCTTCTCCATTGCTCTGAACCGTGTATCGTCCGTCGTGTACAGGCTGCAGTAAGGACTTTCCATATGCGTCTCGTGTGACAACAAAAATGTCCTGATCGAAATCGATAGAAACTAATAGTATTCTGTGCTTTATCCACCATTTGTGAATCCACTACCTGTGACGACTGCTAACAAATATTATTGACGATTTCAAACGGCATCGTGACAGGTAATAAATGCACCAGTTTATACGATATGCGGCTCGCAGGCTTTTTACAGAAACAGATTGTATCTGGTAAAAATTGTTCTATTGAATAAAACGCCTAATTAAACTCCCTAATTACTGCTTATCGCTGCGTCCTGGGGCGCGGGAAATGATGGCCAGTGCAAGATATTATCGTACCTATTTAACACTGATGCCATCAAGAATTATTAAGCTAGCAGTCACTATACGCTACATTGCATATAGCTCGTGATAGTGGCACCGCTACTTTTCTGTAATTTACAGGGAAGCCAGTAGATACATCTTGTCATGTCCACAAAGGAAAGCTCGCACCTTATAATTTTAGCTTTGTTGGCCGGAAATTACGCGGCAACAGAAACGCTTTGTAAAGATTCGTTTCCGGCCAAATCCCGTTTACGAGCACTTCTACTACCCACCAGTAGCGACAACGGTCGTCTATAGCTCGTGAGACGAACCGCGCCGAAGGATTGAACGGTACGTTAACGCGTTCACCGCTCCTGAATCACCATCATCATATGACAAGCAACAGACGGCTCTGTCTGGCCACGGTGCGCGGTCAGTCAATAACATAAGCGTTTCATAATCCAATCATCTGTTACATTATTTCTAATTGAAGCGATGAGGGAGATGAAAGACGATATAATCAAAGTACTATTCTGAAATTCTGTTGTACGTGCCGCCTACAGTCACTATGACGTCATTCCACAACGTCCTGAACCGTTCCACTGCCTGCATATGGTAGGAATGATCTAACAGATCTTAGAATAATGCAGCGTTCGTCGTTATGACTTCTGTCATTTATCAGCTCCGAGCGATGGATGGTGAATTAATTCAGCGGCGCAGAGATCGCCGACGTAACCTTGATACGAACTTGCGGGTGGCGTGATTAGGGGCACCGAAAGGTCAATTGAGCGTAACGGTCCGTATGCGTATAAGACTATTCCATTCATTTCTTCATAAATGGACGGAAAGATCGCATTGAATTTAATTCATATCTAGTCAGTACTCCATTACCCTTTCCTGTTTCGTTTATATATGTGAGTACCCATAGTATAATCGGAGCCCGTTCCAGTATCAGTGTCATAATCCATTACCTATTGCAGTTAGATCGCCGGTGAGCGCCACCACCACAACGAGTACAATCAGGGAAGATAAAATGTGTAAATTCGTTGGTGTTCGATTTGTGTTACAACTACAGCTACAGTTGATTCTTCATGCCGGTGAATAAATCTGAGGATTAATTTCCAAGCCCAAGAAGTTAGATCAGAAAACGCCCTACTTCATTCAACGTAGACGATACAACGTTACATGTATCCATATATGTATAATTTACAATAGGAACAACTCGCTCATTCATATGTTTGTCGTTGAACTCGTGTATACATGCGTGTCCGCTCAACGTGAACCTGCGTGACTCACGATGACTGCTGGAAAATACTAATCTGGAACCGTATGACACGGACGATATGAGCAGAACCTCTCAAAGTTATTCTTGCCAATTTACTGCATACGGTTTCTCTCAGACTAAACCGCGGTATCATTTAGTTGGCGTTCATCCAAGCGGCCATGTCTAGCTGGGTGTACAGGTATAGACCCGACACGGTTCTATCGTATTTCTATTACGCGTGCAACCGATATTATCTTGCTGCAAGCTAGTGTTCTTCCCGTGGGCGTTATGGACCGAACAGGGTCATAGTATCACAAGTCGTCGCGTCGTGGGCAAAAACAATTTTCAGGTTTTACTGCCCCAGATTTCGGTTCGTCGCACAGACTACGGTCGAATGCACCCGAACCAAGCTGCATTGCCCATGTCGCTTAGTATTCTATTTGGACGGAGCGAATCAAGGCTCTGCTCCTTGCTGAGGGATACATTCTATATGTACTTACGAAATTAGAGCCTAGATTAACTTATTGTTTTTCCGTTGTACGATACGCCATAACGTTATCAAGACCTGCCCTTACGATCGCGATAAAACTGCAAGCGTTTGTTTATCTCGTCGCTATTGGTGTCATTCAAAACAAGTCTCGATCGGAAGAATCACCGCTCGTACTATAAGGCGAATCTATTTTTGTTTCTGGCAGAATAAGGAAAAAGTACAGTTTCTCGGAGAACCGCATAGAATATCTATGTTTCCGTTGCTATTCTCATTATCTGTGCAGGTATCAATTGTATTGACCTGATCAGTTAAGTCAGGCCTGTTGACGGTAAAAAAATAATATTTGCTCAGCTCATACATCACTAGGACACGGCTACATCTACTCAGGTCATACGAGAAATAGGGAGAGCTAAGATAAGTTTCTGACAAATCTGTTTAATAATGTTTAGTTATGTTCCATTTAATCACTCTGAGACCATCGGGCATTTAAGCTGCTACATCTTCCTGGTATCAGTTGATAAGAGTTTGCGAAAATTATTCAGTACCATTTTGCTGCTGTTTGTCATGTAGCAAAAAACCACTAACGAGAAGCATGCAACAGGCTGGTAAGGGTTTGGAGAATTGCTGAATCTTCACCTTAAAAAGTTAAAGCCGCAATTAGGTATTTATCTTGTCTTAGGCGTCAGACGATTTTTATTTGGACATTTCTAAGCGTAACAGTGGGAAAGAAGCTCTTTGCTGGAACTTAAACTGATAGAGATGATGACCACTGTTAATCCGATTTCTATATCATTGCAGTTGACGTTAAATTAGTGGACACCGTGAACATGTTCGCCGATAGAATGCCCCCGCCGGGTGGGCAATGTCGTAATCAAATAATGCAGTCACGGTCTATGAACATCTCGATCATTATACAACCGCCCCTCTTTAGTCTGGATTCGGGCCGACAATTTCTCCACACGCGTCAGTTTTGTTTACTGCCGACTAACTTACGGCTAAATGATAAGGTACTTAAGATGAAGTATGCCGAGGCTGGATTTTACATGAACAAAAAACTAGCGAAAGCACAACTCGCCGCAGAAAATGGAAATCAAGAGGTGAGTAGAATCGACTTCCAATAGTGTTTATTCTATATGCTAATAAACATAAGTTATTTGGTGACTTTCAGTTTAAGTTAGCAGTGATAAAATGACTCGTTTGACGCAGTTTTATTTTTATTGAACAGAAAACGTTCGTTGTTTAATAGTAGTTGCGTGATATGGGGTTTTTGTAACTCGTCAAGTTATTTCTACTATATGAACAAATCTGCGGAATGAACGCTTCAGCATAGCATCAAGAACTTTGCCCCACTAGGGGGAACGGATCTTTGACTCATCTAATGATATGCCGTTTTGGACATGAACTTTGAATCGGTAATAGCGACATGTTCATAGCTAGCGTGGCAACACGCGCGAATAGATGCACATCAGCCACCCAGACCAATTTCGCTTCAACAAAGTTAAATGTTGTTTTTTCATTGACCAATTGTGGACTTCTCACAGTTCAAGAAGATAACTATTCTTCGAGCATATCGATAAGTTAAACGAGAATTACACTTATTTCACATAATTCTCGTATCACACATTATATGTAAACAAACCAATTAAAGCTACACTAGCTTTGTTATCAATACAGTTCCCACTCGCTGTCCCCCACAAACGTCGTATGTTTTGTTTTTTCAAATCGCCTTCGTGACTCACGATAAAACCCTTTAGCTCAATACGTCTCTCTCAATAAATCTGACCTACGCAGAATTGTAGACATTACGCAACTGTTACACTATTTCAGCTCATTTTATTAGCTTGCTATTACATTGTTTATAAATATACATATGTATATATTTTTTAAAGCCAATGATATACGTGACAATGTGGCATATTGTCACGTATGGGCGATTTAATTGCTCTACGCCTTATTCTTATATAGTAATGGTGAAGGAAATGCATAGAATTCGGCTATGCTACCGACGTGCGTGTCCTAATATACGGTCTAGGACCATCTCCGCTCCAGGCTAGTTTCGATCTGCTCCGTGTGTTCAACCTGAGCCATTCACCTTGACTGCGAAGACGACACACGTCGGCGTTAAAGCGTACGCCCCTTAACATATCCTACAACCGATAGCCTTTGTAACTGTAGCCGCCCTTAATAACCGGAAAAAAGCATCGGAGCCCACGCCTTCGGCCATCTAGAGTTCAAACTTCAGCAACCTTCACACCAGCATCCTAATCTATGAATATATACTAGGGCCAATATAGAAGCATTTCAGTATCTGCTGTGCGGTTGTTTGAATGCTTACATGTCTACCTGTCTTTCCAGAATGACGAAACATAATTATGGCTTCGGGCACCGCGCAAACGCACCGATCTAGTTGCTAAAGAGAAGACTTTGCACACTAAAAAAAGACTAAAAGAAAAGACTTGACACACCGTAGCAGGGACAGCAGTTTAGCCAACTACGTACGCCGGCGACACTTCGGCTCTTGCCTATCTCGTTGCGTTCGATAGTCGTGTGCAAGCTTCGCAAGTTCCGCGAGGCCAGACGGCGATGCTACAGTCTGGTAGTTCATAAGTCGTCACACAGGGACGATTTCTTGGTGTCTCTTTTGAACGCCTTGAAGTGCACGTCTTGGACGCAACTGAGTAGAAACTGCTTCTTCCGGATGAACATAGACAACCTTTTATCACCTAAGACACCACATAACGTTCTTTCGTGTAGGGTATCGCTTCCATAGAAGCCACTAGAAGAGGCGAGCTTCGAATTCATCCCAAAACGTAATGCTGCCTATAGATGAATATAGCGCTGAACTGGACCTGGTGAAAATCCGTTAAGAATCCCGAACAAACGCTTATGCGACTAGCCTGATCGATTGCCCAGGCCTCAATTACTCGAGAAATGCTAGACTTAGCGGCAACGGGACATTTTGTAAAGCTCTCTAATACAGACAGTAGCTCTGTAACTTGTCGTACCGCTCTATTTATACTCGATTTGACTAGTCTTTCAGTTCGGACGAATTGCTCTCCTGTCGCACCGCCAATTGTAGTAACGACGCACTAGGATCAGCACAAATGCAATTAGTTTACAACTGATCTTCATATAGCAGTAACGACGGAAGCACCTAGGACATAATATACCATTGTGCGCGTCATAGCAACAGTGGAACTTCAATATCGAACGGTCTTGATCTTCAATGATTTACAAAGAACAAGGCATATTTGTCGGCTAGTCTTAGTGACTTCGGTCATTGTATTAGCTCTAGCTTGAATCGCCTAATATCCTTATTTAAAGGATATTAAGGTATCTTATGAAGGAAGACGCAACTTGCTAAAGTCCCTGTCCTTTGGTCACCTGAAAGCGTATGTAAGACGCGATTTAGAAAGTGATCTTCACTTTCACATGTACCTCTCGTATGTGAAGAACTACTCGAAGTTATTGTAATAATTCTATTAAAGCCACTGTTTACTCTAACAGATGTATCCGCTTTCGCCTCGAAGCGATAATGAAACTGAGTTCGGTTTCGCGATTCGCCGTGAGCCTTCACTTCGAATCAATATTATCAACGGCATCACGAACAACAGCCCTGTCTAGGTGAGTACCGCGTTCAACGACAAGAAATCAAGTTTATTGTTCGTGTAATTATTTTGTTATTTGTATCTCCTAGATTACCCAGCAAAAGCACGGCATCAGCTATTATGTTAAGAAAAGATTACCTGACTGACGCCGGTTTACAGCCTAGAATACCCCTATTGCACGCAGATTAAATCAGAAATGCGTCTGTAGAAGGATCGAAATCATATCTAGATACGTCCCCCTTTCGGAGCTCCCTTTAGTTCAGTTAAAGAAATCGTTCAATATTTTTATCATTTGCTATCTACAGCAGGGACTTGAATACGTTGATAATCATTAGACAAAGATAATTACATATGGCGGCCGTGTGCTGATATTATCAACGTGAGTTATACAGGAGCCAAGATGATCTGAATCGCTATTTTCTCGTTTTTATATGACTCCTAAGCTTACAAAGTGATTCGCCGGTACTCGTGAGTTTATAGTTTCAGATGTTAGGACAGAAAACATATGCAGCAGGTACCCCTTTAAACGGTTACCCAATGAATCGTAGAAAGAAATTTGAGAGGAAAGAGAGGAAGCCATACAACCGAAAATGAATTCTTTCATATGGCAAATTTCGTCTAATCTCAACGCTGTCAATAGGCTTATAAAGGCAACGTCATTTCTTCGGATATAGATACCTTTATTTTTCAGCAGAGAATGAGAACATGAGTCCTATCAAAACAAGGATCCATGCTTGTATGGAGTTAACGCTGAAGTGATCGCCAGCTGTTGATTAGTTCATAGTACTCTCCTTTATTTAATAATTCTTAATGTCATATACAATCTGCAGTCGCATAACGATCCGGCACAAAGATTTGTGAAAACCGGTCACCAGTTCTTGCCTGTAGAATTTTGTCGGTTATCAGGGTCTGTGTTCGTGTACTCTTTACAAAACTTGTAAGCAACAAGACGACGGAATCGAAGTGACGAAATGATCTATGTATGAGGCACGTCATTTACATGATACAGAAATCCAGCCATTTCATCTCTATCACGGTAGCATGCATCTAGAGGACGTTCACTTGAAGTCACATATTCACTCTGTTGATAGCTGTGCCCTTCAGAGGTGGCGCGCCCTGAATGAGTTTGAAAGTAGATACAAGAGAGTGTTCCGATCATGATGAGGGAAGATAACTAGGTTCTATTGTATACATAACGTACGCTTAAAGTTGAGACTGCAAGCGCATACAACTTCGGTTCCGGTAAAGCACCTAACATATCTGGTAATGAACTAATCGTTATGTAATAATGTTTACAAGTACACAAGATACCGCAGCATTTCAGCAGTCAACTTCTACGTTTAGCCTTAATTACTTATTGAAGTTATCTTCAATACGTGAATGAGTTAGGTAGGTTTCTTACTTGACTGTAGACTCGTATGGAATTGCTGCAAAACACACTTAAGCTTTTCATCAGAAACCTAAACAATGTTTAACTAAAGAACCTAAACATAGGCGTAATCTGGCGTGAACCTCCAAGGCTCTCACTCGGGTGGATTTTTGTTGTTTAGTTTAGATCGAACCATAAAATGTACCGATTGATCGATTTGGATGAAGTGACCGGCTAACTCTATACAATTGATTGAATGGTCGATTTTGAAGATCATTTATATCAGGGTAAAATTTAATAATTTAGGCGTAACTATGCTAGTTTATTCTATTATAACATTTTAATCCGTAGCCTGTATACACAAAGGTATATATATATATACATATGTTCATTAGACATTCTTTTTATGCTAAACTTCTATATACTCTTAAAGCCAAGCATCTTGAAGTTAGAATATCTTACAGCGCCTTTCTCAGGGGAGCAAAGTAGCGGAGCTAACTTTCTATATTCACTTCCCAATTCAATATTTCTTCAAGCGTTCTCAAGTTAGATTTTTCAGCCATGATTATACGAGTGTCCTTATATTGCGCCAGCAATAGGCTTCAGACAAGCAAAGTTTGAGGTACGTTTGCTTAGATACTACAGCCTTCGACCAAGAATAGGCCGCAGGTCGCCGTTGTGAGAAGACTTTACTAGTCCGCATGTATGTATATTTCTCTAAGTAAAGTATAAAGTCAGCAATTGACTAGCAGATTTTTTGCTAATCTTCGAAGAAAGAGATATTTCGTCGAGTAAAATTATGGCTAGATACCATATCCCAAAGACATCTAAAGCGAATAGGCCATATTGCAGCACATTTCGTCTGGTGCATATTTCAGGTTTCTACAGGTATACTGTTGGACAATACTGCGTATTAGCACTGTTATAAAACCTGCAAAGTGGGATGGGTACAACTGAGCGTCTTTCGGGAAACACAATGGACAGCCTAAACCTACAGCGGAAAAGTTGACGGTTGCTCGTAGCAAGTAGGTCTGAAAAGGACCTGAGACAGTCTTGTTAATTTTGCACGACATGTACGCAGTATACATATGGATTAGATGCACGTGTATTACTAGGAGGGTTATCGTACGGACTCGTTGAGCTGTTAGACATCATCCTCTGTAATACACACAGTAAATAATCTAGTACTTGACTCAGCAGCAGCTTTATTGGTTATTGTCGTAAGGTAATAGGAACCCTGGATTGCACGCGGTACTAGCCGAAGCATGTTTGCTTTTTTTCCTATGTATTAACGTTCAACATAACTAGCTGCAAAAAAAACCCAGTTTGTCTTGTTTTAGATTGGTTGTAGGGGTAAATACGTACAGCCCCGAATCACTAAACTACAAGATACAGATAATTTGATCGTTTGTTTTCCACACTGAATGTACATAGATATATTTAGGAGGCATTCTGATCTTTTGTTATTTGCAGCTTTTTGAACCCATTTTTGACGATCTATATGTCGACACATATATAGTAAACCTTATATATATATATGTATGATGCAATAGGCAAAGTAAGATTCAATACAGAGGGCGTCTGATCACATGGAGGTTATATAGATTTGCACACTTGTGTATAACGATGCCACCTTCCTATGTTACAAATAGCCAATGTCACTGATTTATTTTTGCTCAACTTTCTCTTATAGTACTAGGTATGACGATTGGTTTAATAGTATCCATCTTATTACTTCTCATAGGTTATTATACCAGCTGCACATGAGGTGGTAGGAACATGCTACAACAAAGACCTGAAGAACTGTCATAGAAGGAAACGAAACGAAGGTCATAAAGTTTTCTCACCTGCTGCTACAGGCTAAATAACCACCTCTCTAAGCTACCTTATATATATATATATATATATATTTATAAACTGACTAAGACGAAGACGATAGGGTTGAAAAAGGGACGTAGTACAACGGTCATTGGCATATTGTTTTTTTGTCAGGTCGCTGCCTATATAAACTTGGGGTTTGCTCCTTTCCGTGACCGACACATATTTCACTGCACACGTCAACAACAGATGCAGGAAAGCCGTGTTGGCCGCATAGACGATTACACCGCCTCACTACATGTCCCTCGCAAACGGTCTTAGCTGGTCTGATTTCGAAATAGTTCCGATGGCAACGTATGAAATGCACATAATTTTCGAGGATCCTTCAGTAAAGAACCCCGAACATTTGAGTCGAATCAAAGCTTTCTTCCTCTAGATAGACATAATGACCCGAAATTGTCTCGGGTATCTTCTAATCGACTCACCATTGCAATCTGTCGCTTCGAGTTCTCAATAACGTAAGCCTTCAAGACGAATCTCAAGAGCCGAGAAAAAAGAAATCGGCAGAGGTTGATAGGAAATTCTTTGCTTCAGGTGTGATAAAGAACAACGAGCGAAACGGGGCGAACCTCTAAACAAAAATGTCGTCACTTGCTTCACCAAAGACTCTATAGGAAACCGAACCCAACAATACATACAGGCGCCCCAGATGCAAAAGAAATTGCGGTGGATACCATGTCGCACGTTATTCCCTAGTACCATTTCTTATATATATATATATAAAACAAATTTGTTTTATATAGACTCATACAATCCATATGACGCAAACTGTTTCTGATATTGAAATATATATTGTGTTGCAGAGCTGTATTTATGAAGTTTTTGACTATTACCAGAAAAAATGATAAACAGACGATAATAATTATGATTATATCAATAATTATATTATAATAATAAATAGAATTTGATTTATCATCGAAAACGTGAGGAGTAATTGGAGCAGTTTAATTATCACGTACTGCGTTAATTAATAACAAAATTTTGTAAAAAAAAAAGAACTGATGCATAAACAGCAGGCAAACTGCTATTCTAATGATTATGACTAGGATTAATTCCCAAAGTGTTCTTCTTGTATTGTTGAAATAATAATAATGATGATAGAAGTTAAATGAGAAAGAATAAATAAGAATTATCTATGATCTTCTACGGAAAAAGTACAATATCTGATAATGAATACCAATAATCCAAAAATAGTTGATTCTAGTTATAATTTCTATACAATGGGGCTAAGAATATAATACCCTTAGCAAAAACATGAGCTGAGAAAACCGATGATAAATATCCATCTTGATTCTGTAGTTAGCCTTTTTTTATCCTCTAACGAATTAGCTGCTTCATCCGTCCAATACTTCGTCTTGCGTGTGTCGTCCATGAAAAAAGGCTCTTCTTTTGGTCCAATTTTTTCAAGATCTCTTTTTGAGTATTTTTAAATGTTTAAGAATAATTCTACGCTTTCATATTTCATTTTTCCTTACTGTTTAAAAATGGTTCACACCTCGCACTCTATAATTTTTCAATGATCGCTAAACGCTTTCTAGATCTCTCTAAACTTTTGAAAGTGACTAGAGTTACTGATGATAATCTTCCTTGTTACCTCCGTTATGTTCGATGTAAAGGAGGAGACAAATTCACTGCTACGTAAAATCAACAGACGGTTTCGAACAGACAAAAGCATTTGGATAATCATTAAGCGAATAATTAAATTCTATGTGCCAATAAATTTAGCATGTTAACGCTTTCGTACCTAATGGTTATTCCCTCAAGTTAGAGACCATTTGGGAAAATCTAAATTTTTCCATAGTGCAAGGGAACTTGTTCAGTCTAATTATCTAATCCGAGAATGAAAAATGTGTTCCCAAGTTCACTTTTGTCCGCAGCTTCACTACTGTAATACGTTCAACTATGAAGACCCTAGGACGGGTGACACTTACTCGTTATATTAAGTGGAATTGTTTAGTATAGTTGCGCAAGCGGACCAGAATTTGCCTCGCTGCTGCTAAGGGGAAGAGCGTAGGGCCGTAGAAGTAATCTATGTTTGAGCTCAAATAATCATACAGTATTTCTGTATTTATAATCTACGATTGACCATGGAATGTCGACAAGAAAAGTGCGGTCTATTTTGCACCTGGTGAAAGCTATAATTGCCAATGATATAGGCTGAACCTTACTGCGAGTCGATAGCTCTCATCGGCCGTCAAATAGGCTCAAGGACCGTTTATACGTCGATGTGGACAGAGGCTAGCAAATTATCATTTCGAGGACTGTGATTATTTTGCCCGCATTTTGGATCTCCATAGGATACTCTCACAAAGTGGATAGCTTCTTTTGTCGTGTAAATTTCAGGCTAGTCGCGATATCTTGTACTATGGTAACATGTTGAAGTTTGTATTCACTATAGAGTACACCAAGTGCCTGTATCAAGCCTAAAAGATATTTCTGAGTTTAAGGTGCGGAACCGCCGTAGAGCATTGCTCTAGACTACCAAACCCAACAAGTTCCGCATATGTATCACCAAAACTGAGTAAAATAATCCTTAGAATTTTCCTTAGTACGGTTTATAGTAAAAATACATATATAGTATACGTGCGCAGATCGCGCAAACAACAGTTGTGTGCTTACCTTAAGCCCCCATTCATAATAAATAATAGTATAATTCTGTCTAGCAGCCTACTCTGAACTCTTTAAACTGCAATAAGCTGACTCAGATAAAACAAGTACAAATATATGGAACTTAAAATACACAAAATATTTTTGATAAATTCATCTAATCAATCAACAAGCTCCTATAGAAGTAGCCTTTGAACCTGTATGGAGCGATTACGTATCCTGTGGTCTCTGTCGGGCCAACTTAAGATCTGCTGCGAGAAGCACGATTGGTTTTCCCAAACCCACCAGGAAATTAGCTGTTTATACTCTATTTATTTAATTACTCATCTCTACTATGCCTTTTAACTACAGTTTTATACTTTAATTGTCATCAGTTAATAGTTAATAGTGGCCTGATAATTATTCTGAACTCGCTTGTAGTCTGCCGATTGATCTCTTTCGACGAATCCTAATGTATCACCACTGTTAAATGTGAATGAAATTGTGGATGAAGTAAGCTTTTTATGTTGCAAATGAGGGCCACATGAAACGCTGTTAGTGTGCCTTTAGAAAGATTACACATGTACGCGCCATATAAACCTTCGAACATCTCTGTATTCAATGAACCATTAACCGGTTCCAAAATAAAGCTCTCCGACAAATAGTAAGTTCTGGCTCTAGGGTTGAAGTAAGTCCCTGTTGGCCAAACTTGTGACCGCTGAGACTATGCGCGCTTCTGTAGATGTTACTTATTCTACAAAATGATTTTAATCTCATAAACAAAACACATTGTTTTCAAGGCACAAGGAAACGTACACGTTTCATTACAATGGCAACGATCAACAGGAACACCCTTCGTATAACGCAATGCGTGTTTTTTACTTTGAGCGTCGTACTTACGGTGATAGCTTTAATTGCTTTATTTATTGGCGCACTTTTTTGTACATACTGAATAGAGTTCAGGCGCCTAATAGACTATGAGACTTTTCACATGCTTCCGACTCCATTATACTAATCATTATCATCGGAATGCTACTGGGGCTCTTTGTCCAGATCGGATGTGGTGATCCGCATGTGTGTTAGTATGCGTTGGGTGCTGGTCACATTCGTCATTATCACAACTACTGTCGTCGTCACGGAGTCCGCCTAAACGAGCAGAACGTAAAACAGTTTTTGTCTGACCTTATGCTCGGACTCATCGCAATGACGTCTGACGAAATTGGTAAATCGACGCATCCACGCTTGAATTTATCCAGGGGTACTTCGAGTACTGCGGTGATCGGAATGCGCTAGATTACGTCAAGAATCGTCTGAACTCTCAGAACTTCTGCACTGCAATGATCTATGAAGATGGTTTCAGGAAGATTATCTACATGTATCTATATAACAACAGGGGCATGTTTACTTCAGTGTTTATTCTCACCTTGGTTACCCAAGTGGTGACAGCCTGCCTTGCCGCAGCGATGTTGTTTTGTCTCTGACAAATGGCAACATGCAAGAAAATTGAACGCATTGAAATTTTTTTTTATTAGGTACTCATTCTGAGATAGGCATATCAGCTGATTAAATAATATAAGACAATATCGAACAGGCCCTATGACAAACCCAGAAATCAACTGTACATTATAATAACTGTGGTGTAGACACATAAGCCGCTCAGCATAACGTATTTTGAACCGTGTAGCGACTCACGCGACATCGCGGTTACTCTATTTCTAGAGTACTGCATAGTCGCGGTTCTTAAAAGCGTGCAGCGACTTCCAGCAAGTATGTTTTTTTTCCTTTTGTAAATGTAAGATAAGTTCTATACGAGTTCGATACGCTATACGAGTAAGCTGCGCCAGCCAAATGTGCAGCGTCTACCAAGTTATTGAAAATCGCGTTGCTTTACGCAGTAGAAATCAAGCGTTTTTAAATATGTACGTAAAAAATTATCTAGGCAATATAATAAGACGTTAGTAATAAGTTGTGGCCGAAAGAAACCGCTCAAATGAATCATTAAATCAACCCTATTCAATAAGCGCGTATACTTACTAACACTTCGTTCTAATGTTGTTTCTACGACAAAAGGCTAAAATGTCTAAAAATATATACATACCGCTTTCGCAAAGAATAAATCTGATGTTTAAGATTGCATTTGAAATACCGCAAGCTTTTTAAAAAGACGTTCTTATTTACACAATAAAGGAAGTTATTAATAAGTCGGCTAGAATTTACCATCGTTTTTATTGCAGAATTGGAGCTAAAAGGTTAGCTTGAATATTACACAATGTCCTATTAAGCGACAGCCATTTTGTATTTCGAAATGTTTAAATTGGCATTGCAAATAAATGAACTCAACATCATGGCCTCAATGCTAATAAACGCAACGTTAATTTTTTAAAAAACTAAAGTATATCCCTCTTAGAAAGATGCAAATGCAAAAGCCCCTCTATGAGTAATCTCATGCGTTCGGTAATCGTCATGGAAGGTTTTGCAAACAGGGAGAATGTCGAGGACTGTTTCGAGAAAGCACTTCCATTTGCTTCATTCCGGTGTGCAACTTTGTCAATCAGATAATTACAGTGACAAAAAGAATTTTTCCGATCGTAACTTGCTCGTAACCTCATCAACATTAAAGTAATACTTGTGGCAAACTCCGCGGAAGATTTTAATGTATTACGATGTAGTTGTTCTTTCAATCTGTATGAAAAAAGCGAGGTTGCGAATACTATTTGTTGCGCAAATCTTATTATCAATTCGGGACAAGTGTGAGTGTGATCGACTTGTGAAATACTCTAACTGTGTATGTATTTTCCGATACGAACAATGAAAAATCTAATAATAATGACCCTGGCATATATTTCAATCAGGCATAATGATCTCCTTGTGCCGATTGCCATTCCAGAACCTGTTTCTTACATGCAAATTATGAGTCTTATAATTTTATCGTATTAAATCCAATAGTCCAAGATAATTTAAGTAGTGAGATAGAACTTTTTTTTACTCACTTTTTTGTTGCAGAAAATAATTCTCCATTCATTCAGCCACTTTTTCCTTTATATATTTCTATATCATATTTAGTTTAACGCTTTCTTCCTCCATACAGATATCCACCAGTCCATTATTGCAGTTCCTTGGCAGAATTACGGTTTAGAGAGTACGTGCTTATTCATATTTTTCTCCGGCTTCTTGTGTACATTTTCAATGGACAGTTGTTCTAGAAACAATAGTAATAATTCCTAGCTACAAAAACAAACGCGAATCAACTCAACCTTAAGCCACTTTTATTTCTGCTCCACTAAACAAAGAAATTATTGCAATATAAAGACCCAGTAACAAAAACTTACCAGGTAGTCATTACGGTGAACAAAATATACCAACTCTGTAAAGCTCAACACATTTTAGAAGTAAAGTCACCAGATGTTTAGTACTGGGTTGAATCTTAAGCGACGTTTCAAAGATACAATGGAATTTTTAAACAGGACAACGGCGTGTTAGTTAAGCTTCTTTTCTGGCAACCAAAAAATCTCTATAATGCAGATATTTATACAATATAAGGGAGCAATATTAATAATAGTAACCGCCGTATCTTTTGCAGTCATGGCATACTAGTTTGTCGCTAACTTAAATTAATGTGACTATGTGATTTCAGCCGGTTTGTGAGACTGCCTTTTTTCAGTAACACGTCCCAGCCGTACTTGAGTGGCTGCCTGCATCAGCGTGCATCCTCTAGATAAAGGGAGCCACTTCAAAGCTGGGTAAGCCAACGTTCAGCAGTCCACTCGGACACAGTGGACACTCTAGCTCTCCCTACGCATAGAACAAACCTATCAATCGCTTTGAGTGAAGTTTAATCGTGGCAAAACGCGGAGTAAACCAGAAAAAAAAAGGACTCCCAATTCGAGTTTGAAAAGAGAGCTTAAAAAATTACAAACAGAATTAGAAAAAATCATACCTACAACATGCTGATGCTCAACTGAGGGATAGCTTGTTGTGGTGTTTCAGTCGATCCACTTGAAACCACAGCTGTAAGCATCATAAGTCACCTGCACGTTTTAGGTGGTGCACGTTAGATAGAGATAGGCTATACTTTGTAATACGAAAAGCATAGAAAAATGAATATTAGGTTCTTTAGACTTACGCAATTTACCCCCAGGTAAATGAAACTGGTATATAGTGATTAAGCACTAATTTCACTGAGTATGCCAGTGTATTACTTAGCTGCTGCTTAGGTCATTCAACAACTCATTGTATTCAGTAATTGTTGTTTATGAATTAAATCTAATATATATTCCCACAAAAATTGCAGAAACAAAACAGTTTCCAAAATCAAGGCAACTACAGTCCGGACTCTATTACGAGCTTTGCTGACTTTGTCAGTTCACGCTTTGCCTACGTGCCACCGTGGCGGTCCAAGTAAATGGTATGTCAAGGACAAAAAATACTTAGGCACGCTGCGATTTTATACAACTTGGTTCCACTAAATGCAATACGTATATATCTCGTTATACCCTTAGCGTCAGCATATTACGATTTGATACTCCTGTCGCACTCAATAGAGAGGGACATAGACAAATTGTTCCGAAGGTTAACCTATATAGTTCAACAAAAAAAAAAGAAAAAGGATTTTGGAATTAGTTATGACAGCACGAAAGCTCTCTATAAATTCAATTCGTTTATTTCGCTGTGCCATTTTTACGTTGTTCCACACTCTTGTAGCATTATACCATTGGGCCGCAAAGCGTAATCAACATAACCACATTTATACTTAAATTTTAAAAAAATCATTAGAGATTTTACAGCATAACAGGTACTACAGGCTCACTGGATTTCATAGTACAGTTTATAGGTAAACCGAACGTATTACTATAATCGTCTGGCAATTGAATACATTTCAAGATTCAGCTGAGTATGGCTTTTCTTGTCTATACCGTTCTTGCCACTCGCCATCTGAAACAAGCATAGACGTAACAGCTCCGTTGCCTTTCGACTCGATTCGGAAGCAATATCTTTTGTTAAAGCAGGCTTCATGCTAAACCAAGCCTAATCAAGGTTTCGACTGAACGTCTGATACAAACCTTTTCCCTGCACGGTATGCCGGATGGACGCAGGAAATGTGACTTACTTTTCTCACCATCAGATTACCGTAGACGCGCCTTTTATGGAATAAACAGATGCTGGTTTTATAGGAACAGCAGTTTGGTGTTTAAAACAAACAACAGGGGCGTACAGCAATGGACGCAGGAAATGCGAGACTTCCTTATATTAAGTGCGATTGAGTACGATTTAACTTTCCTTTAGCACTATTAAGAATTCGTTTAATTCCACTTATACCAATGCCTGCTACTTAGCCTTGAAGGCGCTAGGACAAATATGGTTGACGTTGCATTCTGAACACCTCGGTTTAACTGGTAGACAAACAGTCTGGCCGAAACCCACCAGGAGCCAATTCAATTCTTGCCACAACGAACTGTAAAGAAGCAACAAAACGCATATTGATATCGTGAACGCTTGGACTTCACCGCTGTATCAATAGAACTGAACTTCGAGTAACTGGTGCTCAATCACAAGCAGCCAATTTAAGTTAGGTTGCTTTCCATGTTAGAAAAATGAAATAGCTTAATCCAAATACGACAGTCATTATAATATTTTCACCTAGCGTAAACAGATATTACAAAGCCATTAAGTCCGCCTCTGTGCGGAAGAAATTATCCTTGTCTAAATTCGAAAGAACTTTGAATATAACACGTGGTACCAATTCAATCAATGCTGCGCAGATCTGAGATGCTTGCAAGCTTATACACAGATTTAGATTTACCTCGGCACCCACGACTCTATCTGAACACGAGTATCCTCCGGTGATTTTGTTGTTCCTTTCGGAAGCCATTTCCATCTCTGCGCAAGGCGGTGAACGTGTGTGTCGACGCCAATACCAACGGTCTCGTTCCATGCGCAATTCATTGCTAAATACGCCATTTTTGGGCCTATGCACACCGATGTAGTAACATTCAAATCATCCTATTTTAGATCTAAATCCAAAAATAAGACTACTGCCTCAGATAATTGTCTAATTTATACGAGACCAAAATGCGCATTGTTCAAAAAATTATCATGTTACATCGTATTGAAACATACAATATTCGCCATATCGATAATACCTCTGATGGTTCGTGTTTTTCGCCTAGTATGACAGGCATTCCATCGGACGGCTGGCTCCCAGCACGAAACGAAGCCTGTCTATGCTCGGATTCGAACTACAAGGTATCCCTAAGACTAGCAGGCAAATATATTTCCCACTAAGCTATCACGGGGACCTATCGATTATACCTAGTTCTGTAGTTGAAAAGAACAGAAAGCACACTAGAACGGAAGCAAAGGTCGAAATTACAAGCGCAGCATTATATGTTCAGTATCTAGCCCATATATTGATTGATATATAGGAATATGTAATTAATTTTATTATATTGTATAATAAACTAACTACAAACGCATGAGACCTGGCGTGTACCTATGCCCGGTAGCTTGCAAAGATCTTCTATGCTGTGTGGTATGTCCGATTTATACTTCTCGTAGCAAATCGCAGAAACCGCTTTAATATTCTTTGCCTTTGTTTTATAGAATCCAACGGGAAAGATCAACTTCGAAATCTCCTCTTCAGGTGTGTCCTTCAATTTGGCCGGAGTGAACCCATGTTCTCGTAGACGACAACACGCGGCAAAATTTACTTCGTCCTTTGTTTGCGCCGAAAGAAGCAGTGATATTAATATCTGAAAGCGTGTCTCCTGACAAAAAAAATTAAAAAGATTTCTTTAAATTGTACAAGGCTATCCATTTCTGGTGTTTCGGTTTCGTGCTGTGATAAATGAAATGAGCTTGTCAAATATGCACAATACACAGATATGATATTGTAAGCGGCAATGCTTGCCACTACGCTTACGATGTTATATCTCCTACGTGACTAGCTCGGGATTTCCTCACACGCTAAAAAAAAATGAAACACAAAATTGTTAAGTAAATCGGATGCGATTGCTTAATCTATGTAAATCGTTCTTTGTAAATGGCCTGAATGATCTTCTATGTCTACATGTTTATTAATCGAGAGAGAGGTAGAAATGTGAGTCAACTAAGAATACGATTCTCGATACAAAATTAAGGTTGATTTCCAGTTGCTTATTGAACCAGACTTCAATATTTCGCCTGGCCTGTGAGACTGAGCTGTTGTGTGAACAGGACATTAGGCATTTGTGCAGTACATTCAAAACAACGTAGAATAGCCCTAGCTGCTACGATTGAAGAGAAATTGAGGTATTTAAATTTCCAAGCTGTTCTGAGCCACTGTATTAATGACTTCTTCCATGCCTACTCGCCGTTAGTGTCCCAGACGCAAAACGAATAGACGCTCTAAACATGGCTGGTAAATACAACAAAATAGATCAATTTACTTGACTTTCACATTCGAATTTATTCAGGTCAAGTTTACAAACCCGAAAAAATGGTATTCTGTGCCAATTTCAGTACAAGTGGTTTGTCTGCATCCATAAGTTGGTATTTTATGTATCATCAATAGATTATCCTGTATTCGTGTGTAGATATTTAAAAATCGATTAGTATGTGACCTTGTATTGGGGCCGGATTTAGCTTTCTCGAATCCAAAAGTCTTACAACTTTTGATGACAGCATATATGTGTTTTTTATGAATATATATAAGAATATTATTAATATTTTATTTCTCTGTCTAGCGTGATATGAGTACCTGAGAAGTACACAATTGGAAAGTAATCACTATTTTCCAACTCGCTGTTTCCGGTGCAGAAAACTTTTCTGAGACTATTCTTCAAATAACCTTCATCCATATCTGTATTACGTTATAGTAAAGCCATACGCTTTTTTTGTAGTAAACGTTAGACGTCGCGTACCTTTGGTGAAGCCGTAGGATCGGCGCACATATGACAGCCCATTGTGTCTACCGGGGCATCTTTCTTGGAGCGCATAGCGCGAACTCCATCAATCAGTTCCATCCATCTCAAAGGTTCCCAGTGCGCTTTTTTGGCCTTGTACTGACTATCGCTTAAATCTTCGATATCGCCCGCGCAAGATGTAGTACTTCGCAAAGAAGTTTGGCCTTCCTATAAATTCAGTTTGTCATTACTTGCAAACCAGCACATCTGCTACGCATGACTATATAAAATGCATTTATGTTCAGCGAACAGTGTGTGTTATGCATAAACCTTGTACTTACTTCCTCTTTTTTAATTGCTTCGACCAAACGTTCAGCCGGCCTCTTCGTTTTCTCGGGCTTCTTTATAGTAGAGTTTTTTCCTTCCAGCGAAGCGCCCTTAGCAGGCCTCTGACGAGGTTTAGCTAACTTGAAGTCAGCCTTGTTAAGCTGCTGTGCAGCATCCTTATCAGATGACTGCGTCTTCGACCTTGTCTGAGGCATCTTAAATCATCAAATTGGTGTTTCAAAGAAACGTATTAGACGTATTAATGACACTACTTAAAAAAACAGAATAGAAAGAGTAATATAATGGTCCCGATAACGAAGAATGATTTCGATCGAGCGTACGCATTAACTGAAAATACATAAAAAAAAAAACAAATTAAATTAGTTACAAAGGTACTATCTGTAAAGCAAACGTATATCACAGTAATAATATCGACGTTGCTATAAACCAGCAGAGGCAAGTTATGTCTGGACTGTGCATTGTACAAGTCGGTAATATCAGTAGGTATTATTATATTACAGCATGTGACTTGAATGGAACTAATGGCGTACCGAAGATGTTCAATATGCTATTGATTGAAGGAGACGAAAAATAATTACCTGATTCATTGATATCACTGGTATCATGCGAACGGGAATAGCAACAACAGAGTAGAAAAATCAACTTGTACTAACTTTATTGATTAATGAACTTCAACGGCAATGGTTGAACTAGGTAAAACGGCACCTTTTCTACACAGCTTTATTGTCATCTAACAAAACTCATTTGCATTGTATACCTTTTCAATTTGCTGAATTTGCATTAGTCAAGCACTTGGTCGAAATCGAATGCTAACCAAAGGCGCACAACCCGTTTGACTACCAGCTGAATTAGCGTCTGCTATGACAGGTTGATCTGTATAAACAAAAACAAATACTGGCTTTTTCTAGAACAGCGAGCTGAGGGCTAAAACGTGTGCTTTTTGATCATGTAAATGTTTAACATTCTTCGATACTATGCCCAGCAGATGCATATTAAAATGCATTAGTCACGTAAACACGTGATGTATATATCTAATTGCCACTAATTGCAGGAGAAGCCACTGTTTGCCGTATATTAAGAACTCTAAAGCTCATTGAAATATGACATTAGAATCAGATGACATTATCTGATTATGTGGGGCACAACATATTGTCCCTGTCCATCTAGTAAAAACGAATGATCCAAAAAAAATGAACGTGGAGTAATATACGGTAAGATGCTATGTCAATCAATAGAGAATTACATCGTTGTCTGCAACACAACTTGAATGTACATATAGGCTCTTATTATAAATACCTATGCGATCATGCCTGGTTATCCAAAAAACGCTGCTTGGGGAAGGTCTGACAGAATTTTAACATTTATCCGTGAAAGTATCCAGGTAGCACTAATTCGCAACTCGTCTTTCTTAAACGTCTTTTAGATTTGTAAATCCTCATATTCTAATTTAATTGAACTCTAAGTTTAGCAAATTGTGGAAGATAGGTCAAAAATATACATATATCATCGTCTGATCTAATGGTTAGATCAACTAAATTTTCCAGAAAGTCCTATGCTTACAAATATGTAAGTTGAATGCTTGAATTTCATATTACTATATTCATGTTACTGATATGTATACACAGTACATATAGTTACCTCTAATCATACTATCGTATCCCAAATTAAGATCGTCGAGATAATTAAGTTGCTTTTCCTTGTTAAGCCCGACTCGAAAAAAACTTTAGATCGTTTTTATCATTCTTGGGAACTTTTCACATAATGCGGCGAAAAAATTAAAAATGAGGACCTAGATGAAGGTCAAATCCTTGTGGTTTACCATTGATAAAATACAGTTTTAAACTAAATAAAAATGATTGTTAATATCTTATGTAATGTATTATGAAATTAACCATATTTCTGTATCGGTTTTCTTTGGAAATTTGATTTGGTTTACTACTGTTATTTTCAACTGTTCTGTAAGAAAAAAAACAGATTCTTCAAATCGAATTTTATGGCGATACCGTTGAATGTTTTGGACTAGTTATCTATAATTAGTGTGTTTTGTATTTCTTCTGTAAAGAGAACGTTGCGCCGTTGACAGTCGTGTAACTTGCTTTTTAGCCGACTCTTCAGCGATTATTTTAAGATGATTTTGACTCTTGATTTGAAATCACCACACAATTACACATGGCAAGCTAAAATACCATTGTACTATATCTGTTCACGTCTAAAAGCCTAGATAGCCTCGAAACTCCTCAAAAATGTTTGCGAATATTATTGCGTAAGAACGAGGCACAGTCTTAAGCTCCAACAATTAGGTTAGATTAATTATTATTGTTCCACTATCACAGCATATTATTTATTTTTTGTATAAAGTTTTAGCGGGTAAATGACGTGTATGCTTTATGTATCTCTCTATTTTCGCTATATCATTTGTAGATATTATTTAATAGCTTGAGTAAAGACCAAATTACACCTTTTTCTGAACAGCTGTATTCTTTCTTTTAACACGTGTCATGATGCGCGAATCTGCGAATCATGCACGTACAGTACAGTATATATAGCTTTTGTCGCCGAGCAAAATAAAGCTTATCGATAGCTATGTACTTTTGTGATTTGTTTGAAAGAATCGACGGTATAACACGCGACGCTATTTATTGCTCTTTTTGACACCTATAAGTTATCGTAATCCAGTGGACTTAAATCTGGATTATATGGAAGCTGAACCTATAGCTGTTCTGTTTTCTCGATTCAGATTGTGAAACGCAGTCGAATGCTGGAGAGTGCTGGACTACTCATCTATGAAGTTCTTCAAAGATCAAGATATATGGCAGCAGTAACTACATCTTTTTTGGATGATATTTAGTAACAACAGACGTTTCTGATCTCGATTTCTTTTCATGAGTATCATTTTGCACCCGACCTTAGTTGGCGTTGCGGCTGAAATCGTTTTTCTCTTGTTGGACGCCATTCTTCGTTTGTTCTTCTTTTGCGTGCCTCTAAAGACCATTTCGTGTCTCGCCTATGGTAACGATATGATCCAGGCCAGTTTTTTGCCAGTAATAGTTGCGTAAATCGTCTCTAAAATACAACAAACTTGTTGACGTCTGTCCTAGGCTAGTGAGACTAATTAGTGAGTTTCTTTTTCATCTTCGGCATATTCCATACAGTTTAACGTTTATTTCGAGAAACTTTATGTTGAGTCGACGGGAAATGCCTTATACATGGTTTTGTCTTGCCTAAGAGCTTTTTTAATCATTAACTGTGTCTTCTATTTGAGGTTACAAAATGTAAATATCTTCCCTACGGTCTTCAACTTCCTAGTTTCTAATTCTTAAAATTATTGCATAAGTAATTAAGTGTCCTTTTTTTCTGAGAACCTTCTTGTACAATGTTTTCAGAAATCATTGATGAATTTCATCATGTTTGAATTTCAGAAGCTTAATCATTAAATGAACTAATTTTGAGCACTAAACAATATATTTTCCTTTAAACGTATTATTATTTGGTGAAATCTAATCAGCTTATAGCTGTAGATAACTAAACTACTTCGGACAACCTAATCTTTTTTCCTTTAATGGACAAAGGTTGCGACCGGGTCAATTAGTGTACCTAGCACCCCTCTAGATTAATCGATCTTGGTTTTTATAGAAATTTACGGACGAAAATAGATGCAGATACTATCTGGCAATGTAGGGAGCAGCGATCAAATGAGTACATAAACTTTTTGTTCATTTCGTTATGGATGTGACGTTGTATGTGTCTTCAATCAAAAACTCTAGTCCTCTATTTATATTATGTAAAATTTCTTGCTCTCTTGATGCATTTCGGTATCCGAATTCTTAGGTTTCGTGCCCTTTTTGGAACTAACACAAGCCAAAGTAATTAATCATATGTTGATCTTTCAGGTCAGGACTGTACCTTGATATTCCGATCCCCTCGATATCATGGACGTCAGAAACTTCATCATCATTGAAAATACAACAACGGAGTAATATAGAAATTTCTATATTTTATAATTCTTCTATAATCCTTGTATGAGATTTTTAGTAACCTCTCTAATGGCATCCTTTTGAAATCCAAACCAGTCTGTTTTCAGATATTCAGATTGTGGCTGTATATTATAACTGCTGATGGAAAAGCTGTATGTGCAACATTGTTGGCCATAAAACTGAAGACCTTCTCAAAAACTAGGCTGCGCTGCCCTGCGCTACTAATAGATTTTGACAATTATTTTTAGGGTTGTTTTATATTTGGGATAATTTCATTTGCTGATATGTATTGGGAGATGGTCTAACATGCTTAGTACCCCATTATCGAAAAGACCCAGTCTGATTTTTACGAGCCACAAGATTAAACTCCGCGGTGTACTAAAGACTTGCGCTCGTTGTAAAAACGGCAGTCCAGTATAATCCCTGTGATAGCTGGACACCCATAAAGAAAAGTACATTTCATGGTATATTTAAAGTGTCAAATTTCTCTGTCTATGTAGCAATGATTGCCCATATTTGCGTTGATAAATAATGATACAGGTACCTTCTTTCTACCAACTTTGTACATTCTGCCAATACAATATGGCTTAGAGTTACATTGCAACGTTCCGACATGCGAGTACAACTTTGCACGTTTCGCTTTGTACTACACCCTTATAAGTAAAAATAAAAAGGACACACCTGAATTTCTAAAAAAAAAGACATTTTATTAATCATAATCAAACACATGAAATCAGAACACACATTTTAGTTAGGTACAGATACGCATTCACTTGATGGTCGCCTCGTTAACTTGTCCCGAACAGCATGATATTGAAGATATATTATTAGTCGCTGGGTCACAACTACTTGGGCCTTGTTTATGCTGCTCCCGCGTCCGTTTGTATATGACACAAAGGTCGTTTCGGCGCGATAGGAAACTTGTTAACCAGTCGTACGAAGCCATCCCTGACTTTGTCCATGTCTTTGGAACATCTTTTCGAAGCTGGCTAGCTAGCAGGAAGGCCTCTCTTCGTACATCATCCGACGATGGCTTTCCATACCTCTTCAATTGTACTACAAGGCGATCTTCTTCGCTTGCCGCTAATAACTGCTTTGTTCTTGTATAGCCAATAACAACAGTCTTATTTCGTATTTTTATCACTTTTCCAGAGCTGGACGCTTCGTGTTCGCTTTGCACAGTGTGCGTCCTAAGTAGCTTTTTAACATAGCGATTGAGTGACATTTTATTGACGCCAAATCGACGCGCTGCGTCGGCTAGCTTGAGGCCACCAAGAACTGCTTTGACGGCGCCCTCCACCTGCTCCGTGGAGTAATCTCCACGGCACGTTTTGCGGGCATAACGTCGCACCATTTTGTGCGTATGTTGCACTGGGCAATCTCCAATGTATGCTAATGCTGTGCCTCTTTCTACCGAACAGAAGTCGAGGTGTAGTTTCCACGTAAGGTCCGCGATTCTTTTACGTTACGTCTTCCAGAAAATGCCGACTTTGCCCCTAAAACAATGTCTCCATTCGCTCTGACCGCACGTGAGTTGATATTTTCAGATCGTATTGTGTTGGTAGGGCCCTACATGACAAAGTGTCGCTCGGCCCCGCAGGCAGGCGCCAAAGGGGAAAGAGACATTTTTCTTACCCCCCACCAGGTTCTTGAATAACCACCGAGCGCTGCGCTTCGACTTAAACACAAAAGTGTTCTAGTTATTTTGTAGGGCTTAACCATTCAAAATTGAATTGCGCATTATGATGATGTGTGACGGTGTGCAATTTTGCGTTCTCCAGTGTAGGATCGTACGCTTAGGTCCACGGACAGTTCATAGAGTTGACTTCTATATTGCACTAAATAACATTCTGATACTATCGAAATATTTTATCCAGTTGTTCTGTAATTTGGCTCCGTATTTGGGAGAAGTATATTGGCGCCGCCTGTTATATTTGGGCTGATAAATGAATTTAATGTGATCGCTATGTGTGGGAAATTTCCATAAATATTACAAGTTACAAGCACTAAACGCAGAAGTAGGTCCTTGTTGGTGGTGAGTACACTGAGGTAGTTGCTTTATTTATTATATAGTTCCCTATAGCATAACATCTCGCTTATCACAAGCGATTTAAGTAAGATGATAGTAAGTATATTGTCTAACATAGTCGTGGACGTTTGTGTCCGTGACGAATCGCTTCATGCCAGTTATTACAATAATATTACATAAGATGGCACATGATAGGGTGCTGATAATCGTGGCAAGCAAAATGGGAGGTGCAAATAAAGATACGAAACGAGAAAGTTTTTTTCTTTTCAATTTGTTTGTAGCTGTTGCAACTTCCGCTGAATCGCGGTTGCATTTCAGAACGAGCGTTTTACCCTCGCCAGCCCATACGTTCTCCTTTCAGTTCTCTCGCCTGATCAGCAACGGGCTAACGAAAAGGGTTCACCATCGTGTGGCGCCTCCCAGTGGATAGCCCTGGAACTTTGCCACACTGCGTTCTTCAAACGTGTGGCGCTTGCGGGATTCCCTTTTACGCTACACGTTCGTCTGCAACTGTGTTACCAAATTAGTAAGACTACAGTTAACGAATCAATAGAAGCGCGCATTTGCACTCATTGAATTTATCGAGAGTCTACACTAACAGATAATTTATGACAACTTTTGCCCCTTAAGTACCTTTAGTATAACAATGACAGTTCAATTGTGGTTCAAGTATCCATTCAAAGTCATTTATGATCAAATATCAATGATCCTACTGTTACCACCCTATATACATATGAAAGGCTTTCATAAAAAGCGTATATATACATATAATGGAATCTCTATCATATACTTTATAACCTGATAAGTTTTAAAAAATTCGCAACGTAAGTGGTTCAAAAATTGGCCAAAACACCAGCTAACGCAAGTTTACGGTTTTCAATGCGAATGAATTTATCTCAATACGCGTCACTGAAACTACCGAAGCGAGGTTTGCTAAACTTAGTTTAAAAACGCAATTCAGATCTATTAGCGATCTTACCTTAAAAAAAACCAAAAATCTCGTTTGTTCATCTTTAATATAATGTAAGTTGGTTTAAGCTGAAATGGTCTTAGACGCTTCACATATAGCTCCGTTTGTACGAAAAAATCACTTTATATTAAAGTTTATACTGCCACCGTCCTTTACGATGGCGTCGAAGCACCGCATAGTATCTTAAGATGCCCCTGCCCCCAGGCATACCCTCTCAGGAATATGTTGCCTGAGGATATGGAATGATGATTTGGTGTTAAGTTATTATTAAATATCTTAATCATCTTTATGTGCTCGACCTAATGATCGAAATTAGGTTTTGTGAGCTTAAGGCGCAATTGGCACTCCGTAGTCACTCGTGTTCCTATGGTACAATCAAAACGGCAAGGAGAGACAATGATAACCCAGAGAGAAGAGTGCTAATATCAGCCATTCGGTTCCGTTCTATTGCCAGTAAAAATGGCTGCAGCGGAACAAATAAAGGGGAAAGAGTAGCGCAATCGAGGGATCACTGCTACTCGATCCGTAATTGTAACACGGCGGCACAATCGACGTAGTGCGGTGGTCGACAACGCTGACTCCGCTGCTATCAGCAGAAATAGCTTCTACATACCAGCGACAGCACTAGCAAGCAGAATACAAGTCAAGAAGTTTGGCCTGGCCGCCGTTACCACCAGGACCACCTCGACCAACATCAGCATCATCGTTACTGCTGCTGCCGCCGTCGTTGCCAACAGCACCCGCCCCACCTACCTTTCCGTACTATTCTTTTTCTTCTGCTGCTTTATAACTACTCTCCAGTTGCATTGCAGAAGCAGCCGCCGTTACCGAAGCAGCAGTAGCAACGGTAAGGCAGAACATGGACGGACCTCCAGCAGGCGTATGGCAAAGGAAAGGACAAATAGACAGATCACGCTGGGAGTCTGCGTTGGAGAGAGTCAGAGGGCGCAGGAGAGAGCCGAACAATCAAGCAAGACGAAAAGACTACGAGGGAAAGCAAGGGCAAGAGAGAGTTCTGGCCTTCCTGTCTGACTATGCAGGCCCTACGTTATAAGAATGGCAACGGTAGTGGCGGGTCTCGGGCCAAATGGTAGCAGACATGACAGTAAGCGAGCGGACGTAGACTGCGCTCGCAAACACAGACGCATACACATACTCCTCTGCCGTTTGAACCACGACAAACCAGCGAGCGGACGCTCAAATGCCCTAAGATCGAGTGCCTACAAGCCACGGGGTCCGTTAACCCGCAACTGCATACACAGACACAGTCGGCTGATACATACACAGACGTAGCCAAGTAAGTACACACCGAAAGCTGGCGGGTGAGCTGCAGCAGAAGCGGACGACAGGAAATAGGCGGTGGGCAATGGGTAAGGGTGAAGGAAGGGACGTCGCGCGCGCTCTTTTCGCGAATGCTCTTTTGAGGCGGGCGGCGAAGGGTGCGGTGGTGCAGAAAGAACCAATGGAAGAACGAAGGACGACGACTTAGTAGTGATCATAGCTGCGGGGGTAACAGAAGAGAAGAAGGCAAAAAGCAGAGGGCGAAAGGAAATGATGGACAGACGACGAGTTAGTGACGATGACGGCAGGCGCTAGCGGTAGTAGCAGGCCTCCTTCTTCTGCCTGGAGCCTGTCTTACGCTGCCGGCATAGAGAAAAGGAAAGAGGGGTGCTGACTGGCCGGTGGTGGTCGCAAAGTGGAAAGCGGTGGAGAAAGAGAGTTCCTGCTCTTCAACAGCTGCTGCCTCTGCTCTCGCAAGGAGAGGAACAGTCCCAGCTTGGAAAAGTTAGAAAGCAGATAGCGGATAAGTGGCGTAGGAACTCTCTCTCACAAGCGCTGCTCAACCTTTTTCTTTTCGGTCATTTCTCTTTGGGATTCTCACTCGCGTTCTCATTCGTCCTTTTCCTTGTTGTTGTTGTTGTTGTTCAAACTCTCTCCTTCTCTTTCTCGGGTAAATGTAAGCTGCCGCAAGGCGAGAGCTGAGATCCAACACTCTGACCACTGACTGGTTTGTGCTGTGTTATAGACTGTACACCGCATGGGAGCCGTTGTAAGCGCGCTGGAATTGTTGGAGTCGTCGGTTGGAACCTTGCTTTTCCGCCATACGCCGTCCAGACTACATACAAGATGAGCAGTCCGGCAAAGAGATATGTAGTACGTAAGTGAGCGGGAAACGACTGCACGGAAGGGATACGAAGACAGGGAAAGCGGATGAAAGAAATAGCGGGTCGTGACCGTAGGGGTAGCAGAATATGAGAGATAGTAACGAACGAAGCAACGGGCGTACGGACGCATGTAACGTGCGAATGTACGTCAACCTACCCTTCCTGGCAGCCAGACATCCAAGCAGCCGGTCAGTAGCATTGGATGGAAAGAGTAAAAGCCATCTGACGAGATGAGTGGCAGTGAGTAGTTCAATAAGCCATGGAACGGCATGCCGTCATCGCCCCCACGACTGCTCCTCTGTACGTCGAAAAAGAAGAAAAACTACGCGAGTGTCATCGTCATCGTCGCCGCCGCTGCTGCTGCCCATTGTCGTGGACAGTAGCAGAACATAGAAAGGCTGAGTGTTGATGATGGTGATGGTGATGCTGCTGACGCCATTACGGCACTGAGGCTGCTGGCGTTCCTGCTTTTCCTATTTAGAAGGAATAGCGCCAGGAGGCAACGTATATGCAGGCTACCACTGCCGGCTAGTATGAAATGAATGGAGGATCGAATACACTTGCGGGGGAAAGTTAAAAGATTCTGCCAGTGCTGCCGCTGCTGGGTAGGATTGTGAGAAAAGAGTGCAGGACAAGAGCGGCCCATCGGAGAATGTAACAGTGGCCAACTGAAAGAAATGAACTGAGGCCACGTTTTCGGGAAACAAGGGACCTTGCAACTGGGAGGACTGGGATCGGTCGGTCGGTCGGTCGGTCGGTCGATCGACTGGGGTAGAGCTCGAGCCTTTCTACTCCTCCCTTCGCCTCCTTCTCTGTATCCTGACGTCCCGAGAGCTGGGCCTCCTTCGTGAACATCCTCCATTGTACATGTACTCTTTTCCATATGTATACACATACATACACACAAACTCATGCATACACAGACGGACCAACCGACAGACAGACAGACATGCACATACCGGAGCGCACACTTTTTTTCATTGCTGTTCGCACCATGCAGTATAGGAAAGATCTAAGGGGACTGTCCACTAGCGAGAGTGCTTACGTCGGCGTAAGTGTACCTAAGGCAGCAGAACGGAAGGAAAACCAACAGGAAAAAACAGCAGTTCCACAGGAGAAGAGAAGAGCAGAGGGGAACAACGGCGGTCTCGACGATGGGTGGAAACACGACCATCAGCTAGAAATTTAGAATCGTCATCAAACTGCATTATCCTAGTGCTACTGCGTTTGTCAAGATGCCTGACCGTACGACATGGTACATCAGTGCGAGCTCGTTGAATGAATCGTTCTTTGATGTCGGGTCGAAACCCAAACTAAGGCAAACGAAGCGAACGGCTGCTGCCAATTTGCGTTACTGTTGGTATGATATCGTCGTCTCCGCACGGAACAGATTTCGCACGAACGACAATGTCAGCTGGTCCTCTTTTTCAACCCTGAGCACATGACCTGAGGAGACCTGGTCTATCCAGGTCATCCCTTCAACACCCAAGCAGCGTATTAGCGTATATGAGAAATCGTCGAACTCATCACCTTACTCATGACGGATGGTGGCGCATAATAGTACACCGTTATAATAATACGGTTTGTATCATCACACCTGCTGGCGTCGCTGTCATTCAACTACAGCACAAAAATTTTACCCAGAAGTGGCCTCCCAGGTCAGTGGACGCTGAAATTGAATCCTTCTATACTTCGGTAAATGTATTGCCAATAGTGGGCCTAGAGTGCGAATACATGTGGTGTACAGCCTCTCTTGTTTTCTGCTTTTTTGTCTTCTGCTGACCGTCAGTGGTCTTGTCATGACTCCGGTAGCGATGGTCAATGATGGCAATGTGCTGATTGTGATGGTACTGATGCTAATGGTGCAAGTTACGCCGAAGCACTTTCGCCGCTTCGTCCTTGCGTGCCCGCGTGTTTGTGGCCATGTTCGGCCCTTGTCCGCCTATAAGTTTGAAGAAGACGCTGCTGCCACGTTGTGGCCGGAACAGCCGCTGTGGCCGCCACCGTCGCTCTCAACAAACACGGGCACTAGTGGCATCGCCACAGCGACGATCACGGCCGGTCCTGCTGCTGCTACTGTGTTCGCTGCCGCGTCAGCAGCTCCCAACATCAGTGCCGGTTCCTCTGCTATTTGTACAGCAGCACCGCTGGGAGGTTCAGGGGAAGCTGAAGAAGCAAAGCGAGAAGGAGAATGGGAGAAGGAGAGAGTGGAGGATAAGAAAGACGAGCGCGGTAAGAAAAGGATGCCGAGGAAGCGACATGACAGCGTCGGCAGAAAGATTCAGTAAGAAAAGCAGGGCGGCAGGCAAGCGGGGCAGATTAGGAAATAAAAAAAAAAGGCAACAAGGGGATGAAGATCGGTTGGTTAGTTCTTCCTAGTAGTCGTGGTAGTAGTAGTGATAGTGTAGTGGCTAACAGCGGGTAGCAATCGTGCAAGCTGCCTCCCGGGTGGATGAAAGAACGAACGAGCAGTCAGGCTGTCGTCGTCGTCGGCAAAAAGCCCTTGCCGACACCCTCTCCCGGCGTTCTCTTAGTGACAAGGACCCGCGCATTTCCCTCCTCATTTTCCCCCGATTTCTCCTCATGTTCCCTTTCGGCCTGTCCGTGTCACTACGACTTACCACCGCTGCTGCCTACCCCTCCCTTCCCCCATACTTTCCGTTTTACCACGTCTCCTGCGCCCTCCTCGTCGTCGTCGCTACCTCCTCCTCTCTCTGCCCATCCTTTCCATTCCCTCTTTTCGATCTCCTGCTCCTTTTTCTCCTCGCCTTTGGCGGCGGTGGCGGCGGCGAGGAGGCAGCGGCGGCGAGGAGGCAACGGCGGCGGTGGCAGTTGCTGTGTGTCTCCCTGTCTCGTCTGCGTGTCTTTCCTCGTTTTCTCTCTCTCTCTCTCTCCGTTCGGTTCGCCCCCGTGGTGCGCTGCTGCTGGTGGCGGTGATGGTGGCTCGGTGGCTGCTGCTGCTCCTGCTCGATGCCTGCTCGCTGCCTGCGGCCTGCTGCCCGCTGAGGCTCCGTGCGGTCGTTCTGGTAGCAGCCCTGCCACCCATGCCACCGAGTAGGCTTAACTCGCCCTGTCGCCGACTTGCCGAAATTCGACGGTGACCAGGGTGTGCGTCGATCGGTTGACCGTCTAACATCACCAACCGACCCGCCGGCGTCGCCGCCCCCCGCCGCCGCCGCCCCGGGCTGGGTGGTCCGGCAGCGCGCGACCGCGGCCTTAGCCAGCGGGCGCAGGCTGCTCGAAAAAATCCGAGTGTACAGCATTACAGCAGTGTACAGCAGGAGCAGGACGAACAGCAGCAGCAGCAGCATCAGCATAACCAGTGGCAGTGTAGGGTACCGAGGGCGTGGAGTGCAACATGGCAGTTCGTTACTGTTTCCCCTCAAAGTATTACTACATTACTACGACGGCCTGGAATAGGACGGCCGCTACTCGCGAGTCTCCATCCTCCGCGACCTCCGACCTGCCGTGTGAGTAGAAATCGTCGTACAGTGTGTCCGCCTCGATCTGTGTCTAAAATAACAAAACCCGTCGGGCCCATCGACTCGACAGTGGTAGCTCCATAAAAAGTAGCACAGTGTCTGGGTGCAAGCCCGCTACCAGGGGGCAGCCAGGGACTAACGTACCTTGGTCGGCCATTGCCTCTTGTAGCCGTGAGCACTGTAACGCTCTTTTCGCGGCCATCTAGCGCGCTGTCCCATGATAGCGCGGAGCGCATTACGGGCATTGCCTGGTTAACAGCGACGATCGCCTACGAGTATTGGCAATCTAAGCGAGACTAGGCAGGGTCTTTGCTGAGGTCACCTTCTCAGTGTGTTTTCGATCTGTGCTCCCCAACTCACGATAGTTATCTTGATTCGCGTTAATGATTTCCCAATCGCCTTGTTACCTGCCTATGACGAGGTGGCCTGCGCCATTGAAGTCTGAGTCTGTCCTATATATATAATCTGATCTGGTCTGCCGACATCGCCATCGCCACTATCACCGGCGTAGTGATTGCTCGCCGCCGAGCCAATAACCGCGCGAACCGTGTGTAGCGCGAAACAAGGACGCTACTGACCGCGCCCGGGCACGATACCGTCGCCGTCCCGGGCGCTCTGCACTCATTTTATGTGCGGTTGTGTGACGAAAAGGAACCATCGTAAATAGTTGTACGCTGTTGTTATTCACTGTGATTGGATATATTTGTACGTAAACCTCGTGTTGACGCCCGTCGCTCTTGTTATATTGTTGATAACCAACGAGACAAACGTTTCAAGTCTTCAGCCTTCTCCACTTCGTTCTTCTTCATCTCCAGTCGTTTAGCCAATAGTTCTCTCCGTGCCAATAGAGTGTGCGCCTGCCTGCCAGCCAATACCGCGTGAGATTCTATGGTGGCGTTGACTACCGAAAAGTCGGGTAAGAATTAGCGACTAGAGACACAGTAGACGAGACCAGCAAGGAGGTTTTAAAAGCACCCTCGCTCTTTGACTGTAGCGTTCATCATCATTATCATCATCATAATCACCCTCAACAACAGCAGCAATAGCAGCAGCAGCAGCAGCAACAACAGCAGCAGCAGCAGCAGCGGCGGCGGCGGCAGCAGCAGCAGCAGCAGCACAGTACTTATGCTGCTGCTGCTGCAACGGCGAGACGCTGCTGCTACTGCTGTTGCTGCTGCTGCTGCTGCTGCTGCTGCTGCTACTGCTGCTGCTGCTGCTGCTGCTGCTGGTGACGGTGGTACTAGAAGCTGGTCATAGCCGTGATAGCATTAATACACTTGGTGTACAGTCAGTATGGCTCGAGCGGCCAGTCCTGCCGTTTGTCTGAAGTCCCTTTATCCTGAAAGATGTCGTCGTGTGGCGCCAGCCGCCGGCTATCACGACGACTAGCAAGGTCATCTAGCTCTGTCTATTCGCGCACATCCAGAGATAGAGTCAGTCCGCAGCGACTGATAGCGCATTTTTCGATTGCTCGGTTTGCTGCCTGGCAGGTGACAGAACCAGTCTCTCTGGCGAGAGCTATTCAATAATAATAATTCTACGGACCGCATGAACATCGCCGGGCACTGTGCGGTTGCCTAAGGTCCCGTGGCTTCCAGCTAGTAGGTAGCGGTTAGCCGGCCAAACATTCACCCATCTTTGTCGGTTCGAAGCAAAACTGATGCCATCGCACCGCTGGTGGCGAATCCGGGTGCGGCATGGAGGAACCGCTAAGGCGACGACGTAGCTACCCCGTTTCCATTATCGCAAGCCATTGTGGCTCCAGATATTATAGTGTTGTCTTCTCAATCGTGCGCCCAATTATACATAGTTTCCAAAATGATGATCGCTTTGTAATCGTGCTCAGTGACACCGGTGCCACCTCGTGGTTGATTTTTTTCCTTTCCTTTCTTTCTCAACTCAGATACAATGCTTATCGCTTATTGAAAGCTGACGATGAGATTACTCAGACTGGCGACGACCGGTGATTATTGTTTTTGCCATCTTTTAGCCCAGCGTGACTAACGTTTTAGCAATGATTGGCTACGCATATCGAATTCCTCGTCAAGCCGTAAACATGAACATGATAAATGCAAGTTCTTGGCCGCCAAGCAAGCATATAAAAAATCTTATTTAATCACGTATAACTAGCGACAAGTCTGACACATCACAACCAGTGTGACGAGTGGCCTTAATAACGTTGTTTACCAAGTGTCATTGCTTCGGAGCTCCGTGCCGTCAAGTGGCTAGCTATTTGCTTTCTAGCTGATATCTTTACCTGTCGAACTTTCATGGAAATGCGTGAGTGTGTAGCACCCACCAATTATATAGACACATTTTATTACTGTTTTTACTTCTTACTCTCTCTTAGAAAGAACGATCATGTTCTTTCTTAACCATTCACCCTCGTTTATTTTCCTCCGCGGTTTCTCTAGCCGTTCTGGCCTCTATTTAGCCGTTGCGCATCCCTTTGTCAGCATATGTATGTGGAAATCTACAGTGTCCGTCTGTATGTGTCGCAGAGACAGAGAGGTAGACAAACCGACAGACTGACAGACAGACAGACAAACAGGAAGTGAAGTACCGCCGTTAGCGCCGCCCATCGCTGCTGTCAGGATCAAATCTCTGCTAATCAAGTCTGGTCACCGCCCCTGCCGTGTCTTTTTGATCCTGTCCCCTAACTAAAATATCGAATGTTGATGAGCCTATATTTCTCTCATTCTCTCTTTCTGTGGGGGGGGGGGGGGGCATTCTGCTTTTTATTTCTCTGGCAGAAAGACCAGTGTGCGCATGCTTTCACATTTTGTACACCTATTCCCCGCCCCGCCCCATCTCCTTCTCTTTCTATCTTATTGACTCTTTCACTCGTAATATAAAAGCGTGACACGGCAGATCGCGTCTGCTTGCTGCGTCTGCCTGTCCGTTTCCGTTTATTCATCTGTGTGTGTGTGTGTGAGTGTGTGTGCTTCTAATGTTAGTAAGAAGGGAAATGTTCCTTCTTATCTTTGAGTCACTGACCGTCTATCAGGTTTCTTTATTCCTTCGTTTCCCTTCATTATCTTTTTTGCAACTTCCTTCTCTTTTGCTTTTTTATCTGACAGGATGAGCGTGCCTGACGAAGCGTCCTGGTGGCAGTCAACTCGTACGTCGTCGCCTGGGGTTGTTGTAGCCACTCCGATCCGCGCCTACTACCCAAACATCAACCGACCGGAATATCATCAGCTACTGTTACTATTGCTAGATCAACCAAACAATCAACCCGAGGACCTGATCCACGCGCTTTTGCCGTCGTCCTGCGCCTTCTGTCCGCCTGCCGTCGACGAACAACAACAAAACGGAGAACACAAAGGGATAGGCAAACAACAACAACAACAACAATATCAGTGTGCGCAGTGTCAACGGAAACAGTCACTGTTATTATTGAACCTAGCGCTGAAGCCATTCATACGATCGCAACAAACACAGAAAAGAAACGACCTTTTCTCTTACCGTAACAGGCCTACAAACCACAAGCTACTGCAACAATCAGTGCTTGACCTTCGTGCGTCTCTGACCTCTGTGTTCACCTTTAATAGTCCACCAAAAGATTGCTGGACTAGACACGTGCGTACAATTTCTTACCTGAAGTTGCTGCCCGTTGTCACTGCAATTTCAAATACAGCCGCAGTTGCCGAGATCGACAAGACCACCACTACTTCTATTGCTACTAGTACTACTTGTTTGAATAATAATTCAACTACTACAACTAATATTAGGACTTCAACTACGAGTATTTCTACTTTTACTTCAAGTTCTGCTACGACAACGACAACAACAGCTGACCAACTCGGGATCTGTCGCCGCCGTTATCACAACAATCGCACAACAAATCTCGAATTGTTGGCTCCCGAATTCACAATTAGAACGTCCATTCCGGAGGGTGAGCTCATTGACCCTATCAGCTGTGGTGGTCAATCACAGTGGATCATAGACACAGTAAGGTCGTGGTCACCATCACCGCGCGCAGAACTGCTGGACGCCAGCAGGCCATCATCGGGCAATAATTTGGAGGGCAAACAAGTTCGAGGAAACGTAGTCGTCGTCGTTGATCTTTTTCCTCTGCAGCTATCCGAGGAAGCGGAACCCCAAGACGAAGTAGTTGTCGAAGCAGCAGCAGCGAAAGGAGAACAGAATAGCGATAAGGTATCTGAATCTTATTGTCTAGTTCGAGAACTATTGCTGCAAACGTCAGAGCCACTGTCTGACAAAGAAATCGACCCGTACGTCAAATTCGGCGGTCGGAGGCCAGACGGGCCTTGCAGCAGGACCAAAAGCATTAGTTGGATTACTAACCGTTTCAGCCGATATAGTAACATCGCAGTGTCTCGGTGGCTATAAGCTGCAAGCCGTACGCTGGCGCCACGCGCTGCCAAACCGTGAGCTGGCGGCGTGACTTCCCTGTCCCGCCTTGCCTCCACGCACTGGCCCCACCCAGCTCGGCCACGAAAAACGTTGGCCTCCTGTGAGCATGGGAAATAAACTTGGTTGTTCGTGCGCCCCGCTGACGAAGAACAAACCGCCGGGCGGACGGCCGCCGGAAAATGAACCATGGATGAACCTGCGACGAAGGGACGGCCATCTGCTTCGGTTATGGGCAGAGGTCTTCCACGTCAGCGGAACAGGTCAGTACATGTGTAGAATATTTACGTCGAATAATTAAGAGGGGGGTTGGGGTACATGCTATCCGAAACGCCTATTTCTTTCGAGCTGGTGCATTTTGTATACTTAATTCATATATAGACACCTGCGCATTAGCAAAAAATCGACAACGGCAATAATGTTATATCATTATTATCCGAAAATCAGACCAATTAAAAAAGGTATCCTGTATAGAACATTACGTTCTGATTACTCGACCGATTCTGCCTAATCGTTTTTTTCACTTTCACTTATTCCTACGCACACCTGAACTAGTTTCGTTTAATTGGACTTACTTATAATGGCACAGTGCTGTATTTTCTAAATTGGATCTAGGTCATCTTTAACAGGGAAGTAAGTTGGGCATGAAGAAAACCCATATTCTCGTTTGTACCTATTCAAAGGATGTCCTTCCAATAAAATCGTTCCTTATGTTCTCTAATTTAAGCAATCGAAAATAGATTATGCCCAAAACCAGCGATGAAAGTAGATGTTGGCGTTGATGGGGACTAACGCGTCCAAGTCACTGTGAGACATTCGATTAGTATATGCCCATGCGATGCAGCAACCCGGTGGTCCACGGGATCAATACGAGGCATATTTGTACTTGCTTTAAACAAAGGTCAGAGCCAGCTGCGTACGAAGTCGATAACGGTTAACTCAGCCTCAGACATTTACGAAATAGAAGCAGTGCCAACTATGGCGGTGGACGACACAAATCCTTTCCGTTCGTTAACTTGAAGAGGCAGGACGCTCGATCTGAAAGTTGGTTTCGTGTTTACAGTGAACGCGAAAGCTATATCAAGAGAGGTTTGTTTCAATTCAAAGTGTTGATTATACATAGCAGCAGAACGAATGGCTATCGGCCCAGGTTAGCGGCCACAACGCACTAGAGAGCTCATGATTTAGCTTTAGAAACAAGACCCGTGACGATGGGACGTCCGCGAGCGATTGAGCGATTCACACGTTAATGATATGAACGATTTTCAATTCATGCACCAAACGCATGGAGATCCGTTAGTTACTTGATCGAGATATTGAAACAATGTTCATTTCTCATAGTCAAGCCAGCGAAAAAAACCTCGAACATCTACTGAATGCCAAATCGAATAATAAATATATGTATAGTATAATTTCACCTTAGTTTTGTTTTCATTTTGACATCGTTTTCACATTGTTCGTTTGTTGCTGCACCTTTTATTGTTCTTTTGACTACGGTGAGCAGGTGGGGCGATAAAATGGCAGCGCGTATCCGAAGACTTGGTACCAGTGAACGTAACCTGCCTCCAAGACAACCCGGATATTGTCTTCCACATCACGGCGTACGGCTCGCAGGTAGACAAGATACTCGATGTCAGACTGGTACAGCCGGGAACACGTTTAGGTCAGGCTTCTGAGTGCTTCATTTACTGGAAGGACACACACACAGGAGATACGTGGGGTCTCAACTTTACCTCCCCGAATGATGCCAAGCAGTTTCGAGAATGCTGCGTAAGTAAACCTGACAAACAATAGCGATATAGATAGTAGAGATAAAGCAAAACTATTCGATATATTGCCTCGTTACCTTGAGCGCCTGTTTTTACCTCAGTCGCGAATAACGCGCACATTAGCCTAATGTTCTAAAACTATTTGTTGCCGCCCGCACCTCAACTCACCCTTTCATCGATGGTTCACGTTGACTATTGTTACGTGTTTTGCTCACCCCAAAAACTAGCTATATAGTGAATCTATTCAGACAGGCTCGAAATGTCCATAGATATTTGTGTAACAGTAAGAAATGGCGTAATCTTGGACGGTCGAATTTATGAGAGTTTCTTGATTCGAATCATAAATAATAAAGCTAAAATGAATAGTAGTCAAAAATAAGGCTGACATGTTCTCTCTATTTAATAACACATTGCCCCTTATCGGCACATGTCCCATCTGCCTCACTGGTTGATTATAATTTGCCCATGGCACTGAGTGAAAACTCTCCAGCACGATGCACGTCTCCGCTCCTCCTGCACGCTGTGTAGCATCTTTACGAATCGTAGATATGGTTCATTTGAGTGTGGCGCGTGCGATCTTCTCGTTGGTAATTTAACCACCGTCCCTTTTTCCATTTGTCAAACTAACCTGCGTGAATATCTATTGAAAATAGCACCGTTGAGCCTTAAGCTTATGACATGCTTTGTTTGTGGGCAGGGACAATTTTGGTGGCAATGTTCAAACGTAATCAAGGAACTCTTGAATTTAACTTTTTCTAGAAAAATAAACACAAGATTTGATAATACGTATACCTATCAGATGCGTTAATTATGAAGTGGTCCGACCCAGTATTGCCTGCTTGTTAGAAAAATTCAAACTCTATGGTACAATATTGAAATTCATAATTATGGAGAAAGCTTTGAGCGCTAACAGCAGCTGGCCATGCAGGGGGCCAGCAATGCGACCGCTCGAATTCAAACAGTCTTTTTCCGTCACCCTGACGCCATTTATCTGCCATGTTGTCGCTAATATCTATCATGTACGAGGCTTCTGTTCTATCGATTCGTCTCAGTATCCCACTTTGCATGGCATGACGTGCGGGCTTCGTTGTTCGTAACGCTGTGTCTCACGCCACAAAACAGCAACAAAGCTTATCAGGCAAACCTTCCACGTGCATTTCAGTCGTCGACATTCAAATTCTCAAGAAAGGCTTCTTCCTCGTACTCGCTCAAACTAGACGCTAACAATAAGGCAAGTACTATTTCGCTCATCAACAACAGTTGACTTCCCTGCTCCACTTCCTAGCCCTTCGTACACTAAGCTCGACACCGAAAATACGTTCATCTCATGAATGAAGCATCACGCCTCGAAACGGGTCATTATAAACCAGCTGAGAATGGACTGCAGTTACAGCAAAGACGTTCATACTTGAGATGGTTGCCTACGCAAATTCGCAAGAACGACATTGGGGAACCAGTAAGAAAGCCATAAGTTTGTACAAAAAAAAAAAAAAAAAAAAAAAGAAAAAGAAAAAGAAAAAAAAAAAGGAACAGAACAGCGGGTGGTTTATCTGTTGATAGCCAACAAGGAATCGCACAGCAGCACTGAACGTCATGAGTTGTGTAGTATATCAAAGCGCAATTTTATGATAGTAAGCGAACGACTGCAACCTTGAGCTCGCCTACCAATAAATCGCATTAGTTACACGAGTGGTATGATTAATGCAACTAATGATAATAGACTGCCAATATGTGAATCGTCTAGGTACTCTGCGTCCTATGGCGCAAGGTCGATGGACTGTTGCTGAGGCCTATAGACCGGCTTCACAATGACTTCAAAGATTGATTCGCATATTCATCTTTTACCGTTTGCTTAACCATTGGTTTGCACTTGTTTTTCCGCCAATTCCTCTGTCGCCAATTCGTCTCACGTCTGGCTTCCATCGCTTACGACATGCTCACTACTACTACTACTACTACTACAACTAACCACTACTCGTCCTGCAGAAAGTAAAGGGGAAGCGAAAACCACGGTCAACGCCGAGCTCACCGTCGCGGAATCGAGCAGCCGCCTCCACATCGGGCGGCGAGCTGCAATGTACGTGCATGACGGCCGAGAACCTGCATCGTGCACGAAATGGACGCGTCCGCTACACAGGCGCCGCTACGCTGCCTCGGCCAACGCTGCCACCAGCCAGTTCCTCCGCTAGTTCCGCCCGGCCGTCGGCTGTCGCCGCGGCGCGAGGCGACAAAGGTAAGCGCTCCGTGGAGCGCCAGCAAAAATCCGATCAACAAAATCGAAGTCAGTCGACGCCGCGAGCGCGCCAACCGCAGAGCGTTGGTCAATGCGGGTCTACGCAGCAGACGCCGCAGGCACAAGTGCGTTCCCGACAACAAATCGCCCGCGCACAATACGCCAGTCAACGAAAAGAACAAGCGAAAAGTGTTGACTACTCATCGCAGTATGCGATCAACCAAGTACATCATATCGGTGGCCATGGAGTGCCACCGTCGTCATCTGGGGTACGGTCCCGCAGCCCCCGGCAGGGTGCAGTCGGTTCCAGCGTGTCGATACACGGCCGTTCGAAGAGCTCGGACAACGTTTTCGAGCAAAGCGAACGTGCTGACGAACGTGTTGGTGAACGTGGGGAGAGGTGCGCCACCGCGTGCGGCAATGTATCCGAGCTGAGCGGTCTGGCCGGACTCAGCCTTGACTCAAACACGCTCAAGCGCATGCTCAACCCGTTGCCATCCGGCTCGGGCTCCGCGCATAGCTCACCCGTTGATGCAGTAGCTGGTTGCAGCCTCGGTTCACAACGCGGCGGCCATCCTGTGCCCCTACGGCCGCAAACGTCGCTATCGTCAATGCGTGGTGACGCTCAGCTTCAGCAGATACAACAACTCCAGCAACAGCAGCAGCAACAACAGTCACGAAAACGGGCACAGTCTATGGGCAGGCCGAGTGGACCCCAGCGACAACCATCACGCGATCGAGATCATCGGCCTGATATTGGTACGTGTTTCACGCTGCATTGATAACGGTTTTCGGATCTTTGCGGCTCCGTTTTATCCAAAAAAATTGATATCTAGATTATAATTAACACTAGAAGTTCTCGCCTTCTAATCAATTTAATGAAAATGCAAACTTTATATAGTGTCCGTGTGTTACGATTGAGTGTACATACGCATCTAAGTAATCGTACTTTTACTGCTGAACGTCTGCCCTCCTTCGGTTCTAGGTGCTTTTTACCACTACATTATTTTATCCACGCAATACCTTTCCGTATCTAAGCTATATCTCCTAAACATCACTTTTTCTGCTTGCACTTTTTCTGTTCTGTATTTCCCTTGGCAGCTCGAGGTCGAAGCATCGACCGCTTTCTCATTCTCGAATTGGACAATAACAGCCCGGAACACTCATCTGAACAGTACCTTTACGATAACTTATGCTACGCGACGACCCCCAGTTCGTCAAACGAAAACAGTGATATGCCGAGCAGTTCCGACGAGGTGGCTCCCTCCCGCGAGAGGGACCAGGACAGAGAGTCGCCTACCAGTAGACTTCTTCAGGAGTATGAAGCCCATCTGCGCAGCGCCTTAGCCAGAGGACTCGACGCTGAGAGTTATAGTCTTCACACATTCGAGGCTTTGCTAACTCAAAGTATGGAGAATGTCGGTGAGTACGCGGCCATTTAAACTTACGTTGTCTCCCAACCGAATAGAGTTAGCCTAATCTTGCCCTATCAGCTTGTAAGATATTGATACACGGTACACTTAGGTGTATACATGCATACGTCCTCACACGTACACATTCACTCCGCCCATGCAGTATGTGTATAACGCTGCAATTGGATGTAGAAGCAATAGTATCCTTAGTCAGCTATAAGAAGTTCAGCCGTCGCAACATGTCATTATAAAAAATCTAAAGCCATTGTATTTAACTTTCCCCTTATTGCACAAATTCAATTTATACAGGACTAAACTTCTTTATTCATAACTAGTTAGTTTCTCGTATCCGAGTATTCATTAGTTTTATGTAGTACACAGGTATTGCACACCTCAGCTCTGATTCCGTTGATTGCCCCCAATTTAGTATTCGCGTATTTTCACCAAAAGGTGTGTATTTTCCAGTTCCTTTCTTGGCATACTAACACTGTTAAGTTGTAAGCATACTTCTAATCAATCCATTGTATTGCAATGATTTCTGAGCACCGTAAAGAACCCTTCTGCTTGCGCACAACTTGCAGGAGCATGAGACGAGCGGTATGATTTATGTGTTCGTTGATGAAGTTCTACAAAGAGAACGGTTCGTGTGCCGTCTTACTTAGACTGATCTGATGCCACAGAGTACGTTTTTTAGGCCTACAGAGACATTCAAATAATAGCCCCACGCGTTCACAGAGTACGTGTGCCCTGATTTTTCGGGCACCAATTTCGTACATTCATTCAGTGATATATGTATCTATCTGCAATGGGACATTGGTTAGGACATGACGCAAGTTCTTCATCGAGACAGAGTGACGAAAACAGTATAATGATGTCACAAGATGTTAGTGTTTAAGTCAATTTGAGATCACGACCCGTCCGCACCTTCTGGACACCTATACAAGATCGTTCCTAATTATATTGAGCTGCTGACATTTTGTAAAATTTATAAGGAGGGGAGGCTAGTCACCATAAACTCCTTTTGGAATTCTGTAGCGACTGGTTTTTCGTTGTTTCCTATTTTATCAATTCTTCTCTTTCTTTTTTTGCATAGAGTATCCATCGTTGTCGGAATCCATAAAACAGGAGTGGAGGGGGTCAGTGGGAGTAGAGAATAAAAGCCGTAGAAAGTAAGTGGGGTGCGGGGGTGGAAAGGGGCAGAAAAGCGAGTCAGCCACTAAGGCCAGGAGCTCGCAAGCGGTGGCGACAGCGACGGCGACGGCGGCGGGGGCGACAGCAGCACCCTGTGGAAAAGCCACCGCTTCGTCGACTCCGTCCTATTTTGTTGTATGTTTCCTTGGACGCCGTAATTTATCTCGCGCGAACGCGGGCGTTGCAAGAGTGAATTTTAAAAACAATGACAAAAGGTGAGTAATCCTGATAACACCATGATAGGACGAAACTGCGAACGATTTACAGACTGCGGTGGTTTCATCCAAAGTACCAGAATGGTATCATTTCGACTTCCGACAGCCACTAGTTTTGTCTAAATTTGATGATTCTGATGGAACCTAGGCTCGATCTGTTTATTTAGCATATATGTTTGTGAGGGCAAAAAACACTGCTGTGCTAAATGCATTTATAATAATTTGTTTGATAAATGAAGTGACTGCTGTAGTCTGCTTTTCTATATAAAATCCTAAGTGTAGACCTCTCCTCAATCTCCAGATACTTGCAGACTTGTACGGCCTTCGTTGAAGCCCTGTATTATAGACCTTTCTTTGTAAACAGCTGTACTAAAAAGTTTAGACTCTTTATCTCCGAATTCTTATGCTATCGCACAGATAGATATGGCCGGCAGACTTTTCAACTCGACGCCTGACCATTAAAGATCTATTAACGAGCCAAATACCCATGTAATGATATGTTCTAGAGTAAAAAGACAAAAAGCAAATCGGAATTGAAAGTTTCGTAGCACCCTCTGTCAGGATCGTATTTGTCTAGTTATTTTATTACGCTCCTCCTGTGGACAATCTTTTTCTGTTGTTGTTAGTTGGCTGATCCGGTTGTCGATTGAGGACCTGACGATTAATCGTCCGAAATGCTGTTACCGCATGCTTCAACGACCGCAGCCTGTTGTTGTTTCAGTGGTGCCCTAGTCAAAGCAGTAGTTATTACTGTCTATAAGGAAATACATCCAAATGAGGCATCCCGATCGGTGGTAAGACTTGCCTAAAAAGTGACCTGTCCTCTCTGATATTCTATTACATGGGTAGAATAGGTACAAAAATGCCGACTGCCAATTTGTCTTTAATCGCAATTTGCACCGTTCCATTTTGTTCCCATCTGAATCTGCTTATCATTAATTAATGTCGATATTTATAAGATAGCGGCCAACAATGCTACGATTTTACCAGCACACCCCTGACACGGAATTGTGTTCGTGTGCAAACAAGATATACCATTCTGGATGCCTCTTACGTTGTTCAAATAATCGAGAGAATTTCCCAAATGATTAGAACATTTTATGCAGTTGTATATAGTCACCGACTAGAGTAACTGAACAGTTTACAAAGGGTTGACTGGTTAGCAGCGAGACTGAGGCCTCCCCTCCGCGCGCGCCTCCGGAGACCGCGGTGCCTTGCATTGTCCTGAAGGTGCTGGGCAGCGTGGTCCTCCTTGTCTGCACTTTCACCCAACTGTAATATGTACTGTACGATATAATACACGTAAAGTCGATGTGATCTGAGGTAACACACAATCACTTCTGTTCGTGTCTGCTAGCGACGATGAGCTGCTAGTTCGACAACGACGATATGAGATCGGGCCAAGACAGCTTAGCTATAGCATCTAGTCGTCTAGCTTAGTATCTCTGTCATCAATGTCCTAGCAAGCTAATGTGTCAGTCAACTTGTAAGATCAGTCAGCACAATGTTGACCGAAACTTTGCTGTTCTATTGCAGCGTTTCTGCCTCATGGCTTCATCGACCCGGGCTGCACGCAACACCAGCATCTGCATCATCATCATCATGTCGACATGACGCCCTCTGTTAAGGGTGGCATACGGAGATCGTCATCACTGAGGAGCAACTATTTCTAGATAGCTAAATAAGTATATACACATAGACGAGAAAAGGGTGCTCCGTCCGCAAGTAATGCTTCCTTCACTTCAGCCAAGAACAGACACATTCATGGCACGCAGAACTGGAACAGACGATAACCTAAAGGGCTCCTCGCAATTGTCTTATGCGATGTTTAACGAAAACGATCAGCGTCCAACAGCAGTAAATTGGGCCGATGGGCGGAATGCTTCAATAGAGCGACTATAGCCGATCATTCGTGTGGTCGTTCATATGATCGACATATACGGGCATCGGTTGTGTTTGCGTGCCAGGGCAAAGTTGATACTACGGTGCAATTGCACTGAACATACTCTGATGACTCACAAGACTGGCGTCTGTAGAGAATCACATAGAGGACTTGCATTAACATGGTGCTAGAAGCGAATTCGTGTATTATTGACATCATATATCGTTTCGTATCGCCGGAAGAGCGGACAAAGGCCTAATGAGCGGAAGAGTTGTCTATCCCAAGTGAAGAACGAGTCCTATCGGCTTAAAACGTCTCCTATTTTGATTTATATTCTTCGCTTGAGTTTATTTCAACGATTAGTCTAGAGTTATCCGTTTTGCATTTGACGAACACGCACATGTTGATGGATACAAGTATCTGGGTAGCCGAGACGGTTTATAGCTAAGATAAGAGCTTAAATAAAAAAAAATAGTGTTGTCAGCAGTTCGACGACGGATGTTCATTAACGTCAACACCCCATGAATGACCTCCATTCGTCGTTCAGTCGTGACCATAGCAAACATATTCGCATATCAAGCGTGAGATTAGAAGTGAGCCGTTTTAAGGGCATGAAAAGGAACCGAAAGTAATCAAGCAGGCATTATTGTTCCTACGAAGTTTTCGACAAAAAGGTATATTCGCACATGCTTTAATTGTGAATAGAGGTGGGTCCTCCTAACGATATATGTCTAGTAGAAAGGCACGTTTACGCTGCAGGCCGTTGTTGTGCATTCTTCGAGTTGCCCTATTTCGACCTCCTGACCTCGGCGTTGGGATTGCCAAATAACGAGAAGACGTGGTCACAAGGTCTGGAAATAATGCTCAACTTTTCCATCCGATGTTGTACAGTTCTAGATTAGATAAGGATCGAAGTATGCGCATGGTCTGTTGAGTTGTTCGACTAATGTAAGAGGGACGTAAAACATATAGGTTGAAATATACGAGTGGTTATCATGACCTTGGATAATGCCAATAGTGAAGAAAACAACTAAGTAAGGAAGGAAGGAAGGATTATCGATTACAGTGAGACAGAGATGATTGCATGAGTTCAGGTCTCTCCCGATGGCCTAAGCCTTTAGTATGACGTGCAATTGTGTTAGCCGAAAAACGGAGAGAACTATTGAATATGATGCAAGTGGATCGAAATCTGCTAAGCCTTACCGCTCAACGGTTGCGGATCGCTGCACCTGGGGCTGCGCTCTTGCGCGCACATATAGGTGTGTGTGATGTAACGATGCCAGGGCTAGAAGTGTTGATTATGGACGGCTTGCGTGCCTGTGGACGTGTCGTCGCCTCAAGCACATCTGTGCATGTGTTAATATAGCGGAAATATATGTTTATAATCGAAGTAACTGATGAAATCGGGAAATTAAGGAACAGGCTGCAGCAATACGGAAAAACGAAATTTGAAGGTATCGAATAGTACTAATACTACTGTAACTACCTGAGCCCGGGTGGGCCGGGTTAAAAAGTAAGTCAAGGTGCGACGGGTCGATTGCACTGATACGTATGCCAGCGACGAGCATATTGATATGGCAGCATTACGAGTTTCCTGACTACGACTACCATTTCTAGTACTGCTATTTGAACGGCTTCTATTATTATTACGAAGATTTAGATTGGTAACTGGACCGGACTAAGGACCGAACACCTGAACTAAACCAGCAGCACAAAGAGGAGAAAGAGAGAAGAGGGTACTAACAGCGAAAAGTTAAAAACGCAAAAACTTGCAAACACTAGTTTCTTCAAACTTCTCGTTTACTCTTTTGCCCCTTTCTGCTTCCAGCATTCCATCATTCGATTCTTTCTTTTCTTAGACGGCCTGGTGCATCCTAATTGAATCATCATTTACAGACGTAACGAACTACGTGCAGCAAGGTCGAAACAGCAAAAAAAAGAAAAAAAGGAGAAAAAGTTTGACAGGCGAAGTGAGTAAAAAAGAAAGAAGGATGGTGTATGCGCACTCTCATCGCAGGAGTAACAACTCGCAGAACACGACACAAAAGTAGTGCGTTGCTCTATATATAAAGGCAAAAACCGCATAATGCGTCACTCGACACGCACTGAAGATCGCTGTTCGCGAAACATATCCTTCACTCAATAGGTCCGGCCCAGTGAAGACCACTGACTATGAAGGTATAGAAATAACCACGGTCCCTCTATGCATGACGGTCGAGATGTAAGCCTTCCAAGGCACGTGGTTCATTGCTACAACGATACCAAAGGATATATGGTTGATTGCGAATTGATGGTAAAAGACGGAAATGTCTAGGCGTTAACAGCTATGCCATCAGACGATCTCATCTGTGAGATGACGCGAAATTGTTATGCTCGAATAGGAGAGAATGCTGTGAGGTCAGGCTTGAATAGAGCTACATCACTTTCTTAATTTCTAATCAGCTGTTCTTCATGAATCGTCCTGTGTCAATTTCGCGTCGGCCGAGGCCCTAAAACCCATTCCCCTCACTCCTGAACAACCTGGTTTCCAAAAGCTGATACAACATAACGTAAGGAATGATAACGTCGTAGTTCGTACGAGTACAGAGGCTCTCCAGATCACAACAATTTAAAACTACTAATTTAACTAATCAAATGCTTCTTGCTGCGGTACATTCGCGCATTTTTCTTATACTACCTTTTTTATCGTTTACAGTAATGTGACCAAGAACCACACGGGAAAACAGAAACAGGAAATACACACACACACACACAAACCTATATATATATATATATATACATACTGTACAGCGTATTGAAAAACCGTACATGCAATCCCTCTTTTGTGTTTTGGAACTCGTATAGTGTTCCCCTTGTCTCATTCTAGCAATGCATTTATTATACGCTATATTCATCTGTAAGTTCGCTTTTTGGCAAAAAAAATATCTTGACGTAGCACTACAGCTGTTGTAATGACTCCACAATGATTTCCTCAGTAACCGCTCATATATAGGTAGCGCTTAAGAAATAACGAATAGGAACTATCGCTGAAAAATAAATACCAACATGGACAGACACACGATATACAAAGATGCATACATAAAAAGAATACATAAAAAGCAACATTCCATGGATTTTAGATTTGGGTTGGTCCAAAACACAATGTTTAAGACAGACCTACAACTGTAGGCCCAGTTCGGGCGAAAAAAATATCAACAACAAAGGAACAAAACAATAAAAAGATATTAACAAAATAATCCAAGAACAATAATGTATATTTAGAAGAGGACTGGTGAGAGCAACGAAGTGAAGACAATTGATTTTGTCACCCTTGCATCTGTTAGCTAGGGAAATACTGAAATACTTGTAATTATTATTGGAAAGTAATTATTGTTATAACGATAAAAAAATTATTATAATAACAATAATATCGATAATTATAAATATAAGTAACAAACAAATAATAAATAATATTTATACAAATGAACTTTGTGGACAATCGTTTTTACTCATAGCAATGAGATGTTTGCTTACATTTATCTTTTAGCAATATCTTATTCTCACCTTTTTAAAGTATTCTCAACTTGAAGCAAACGACGTGAATTTCCTCCCTGCCGTTCGCGCTGTTGCTGTTCGTGCACCTTCGAACTAACTTGAAGTTGTATGGAGATAATTGTCGTATTCGGTTGTATCGGCTAGTACCTTTCTGATGGGTCACGTGTACGGCGTGAGTCTCTATATTTTGAGTAAAGCTTCCTATGGCGTCTCTAGTCAGGCTGCTTCTCTATTAAAATCGCTGATGGTGCGTCTTTCTCAAAGTAATCATCCCAAGGACGAACTTTACAATGGACGAATTCTACTGGCTACCTGACCATAAATGATGGCAGATTGTTTGATTCTGCAGCATGCGCGACAAGGCCTAGCTTAACAGCGTTGGTTTGCTTGGCTCTGATAAGTTGTATGCCAACCGGAGATACATTTTAGCGCTACCAGAAAGAGTTCAGGACACGAATACTAATTACGTCACGGATTCCCCCGTTGGAGGTCAGCAGAACTTTGAAATGCTTTCCTCTTGTTCCCTATTCCATTCCGCTAGAATCGCTGACACTAGCAGAACTACTATTCTTTCACTTCCAGTAAGGCTTTGCCCCTTTTCTGCAAACCTTCTGTACATTAATTGGGTACAATTGACGTTTTGACACAAACATTGCCAATCCATATCCTTCTGACCCAGTAGCTGCGAAATCTAGGAGTCAAACTCACAAACGTAGACACATACAGACACGCACAGAGGATGTACGTAACTACGTACAGCCCACACAAGACTTCTAAAGCTACAGATCTAATATGCTCCTGTGGCAATTTGATTCATTGTCTACAGACTGTGATGTATATCAAGTTAATCAATAATCACTTAAAGCGACGTAAATTAGTTGCGTAATTGTCAGAAAGTCTATAAACTGTAAATATATTAGACGACTCGGGGGCATCGGAAGTTAGCGATAAGAAGTTTTATTAGTATTTGTTTAATAATTAATTTCTTTTTGTTTGTGTGTTCAAGTGAGTATCCGCCTATATACAGTTGCTATAACGTCCAATTTTTGGAGCTTTAGATTAAAAACCTGTATTTGATAAATATTAAAATGTGAATCGGGCAAATGTAGTGAACTTAACTTACCGAAAGTATTTCAACTGCACTAAAGTTACCTTTTAAATTTCTTGTCTATAAGTCTCAGAATGAAATGTAGCATAGATAGACCAACTAGAGCATATCTATACTCGACATAAGAAACTGTTGACAATATTTGCCTGAAATTGTTTTTTCTTTTACCACTTTGAGCAATTAACCGATAGACTTTTTGAATGGGCTCTCTGCAGTGTCGTTGATGCGGGAAGTGCATACAGAGCTCGAGCAGATCCGACAGGAAGAGCTGGCTCTCGCTAAAAAGCCCGCTCAGCCAGCGGGTGACGTGACGCCCACGAATTCGTGCAACAATAACAACAACAACAACAATAATAATAACAACAACAACAACAACAACAACAACAACAACAACATTCCCAATCGATCATCGTTTGATTCTCGTAAGTCACGACGCTCAAGATAGATATCATTTGATAAATGTGTTGCGGGTAGCGCACCTACGGTGGGAATATCGGTACCTCAATGCAGTAAAATGGAGCCATATTTTTAAACGTTCAAGCCCTTTATCCTCATATATTATACAGTATTTGAACTTATCTAAATAAGAGCTAAGCACAACAGCTGTAGGCGAAATGAGAAGTTTCTTTAAAATAAAAAACCTAAATACGAAGACAATTATAGAGTATATATATTGCCCTTGAGGGTATTATGTATCCTTACGTTCGGGAAATCAATAGCAAATTTCGATGGATAACCAAACAGTAGGAAACCAGCGGCGCAGCCTGAAATAAAAATGAAACAGTTCGGAAGCGTAGCATCTACTCTATAAACATGTAAAAAGATTGTACATTAATGATTCATTCCTGCTTTTTTATAAGTGATAAATTGATAATCGTGCAATGGCGGTGCGCCTCAATATACGACGCAAAAATAGATAAGGAGCTATTTTTACTATAGAAAGGACTAACATCTTGAATTAGAGTGACCAGTCCCTACACCCATGCGTTGGTTAGGTCATTTATTTCGAAAGGGAAACTTCACGGACCGACGACTATAACTTCTCGAAGTGTTTTCGGGCTGCTGCAGGGCTACCCATAGCACATGAGGAATAATTCATTCTATAACATTTGGTTTGAAATTGAAAAAAATTACATAGTATGGTTGTGTTAGTTTAATTTTGTATCAGAGAAATATGTATCAGAGAAAACTCTGTATAAAACAGCCGCTGCCATTTATAGCATTATTCAGAAAGGCAAGCACATCTAGCTCAGCATACTTCATTAATTATACTAATTAATTGATTTTAATTGATACAGTTTCTGTGAAATTGCTCTTCGATCGATTACGCAGATGACACAAGTAGAAAGCCGCTGTGCGGGGTACACGAAATCCAATAGGTTTTTCTTTCATTTGTTATTGTCACAACCACGGCAAACGGGTAATTTAATGGCGTTATGTTTTACTATGGTATGGTATTTGTTGAGTTTTTTTTTGGCACTATTGTGTACTTACTTCTGCGACTTTGCTTCTCTATTGTATTTGAACCATGTCGCCGGGAAAAAACCAGGCACTCTTCCGTCGGCGAGCAGGATGTCCTCTTCCGGTCTTCACGAACGAGGCAGTCTGTCGGGACGGCATTTGTCCGTTCCTAACATAGACCAGGCCCATACCTTATTGAAGCAAAGCTCGATTGAAAGCGCAGACTCGAGAATCTACCTCACATCCTCTGAAGTAAGTAACATAACGGTGTTGATATACATACAAACTGCTTTCGCTACCGACATCTACTCCGACTTCTGGCATAAATAGTGCGCTGTGATTTTCCTTTTTATTTCCTGGTTACATCCATTTTCCAGCAGTAATTGAAACACATGCGAGAGCTGTCGCAAACTACGGGTACGGTGGTCGGGTTCGTCTCTCAAAAACCACCAAATGAATGAAATGCATGAAGGGTTGCGGTAAAAGCTGTCTATACGAGAGAAATTCGCTCAGTGTGAAGGCCCAACATTCTAGCAAGACGTACAAGTATTAGCAAACGTTAGTTTGAATTTTTTCGTGCCGAATCCTTGTGATTACATGAAATATGAAATTATCGGTGTGCATCGATACCTTACAGCTCCGCTGCTGTCGGGATGTACCGCACAGTTTCGAAATAATTATCGGCTGTTCTGTTTTATTGGCAACTACATTTCTATGGCGTTTCACACAAGTGATCGTTTGCTCGGAACGCCGAATTTTTCGTAATTGTTCCTGTGGCGGAATTGGCAGCTCCTACAGATGTGGACAGATATATTAGGAGAAGGACAGATAGACAGGTGTATTATACATAACAGAACAGTCAAACACGTGGGGCTCGTCATACTACTTAAACTGGTTATACGGTATCTAGAAACGACCAACGATTGTGATGATCAGTGTTTTGTTGTATATTGCGGACACCGCGGAAACGAAGTTATTGTTAAAAACATGACATTGATCTGCCGCTAATAGCAAGAGTCGCTTTATCATACGAGGACGCAATTTTACATACTACGTCGTACGCGCATAGCCATGTTCTTCGCAATTCGTACTATGAACACCTACTGATGTTCTAGTATCGGCAAATACCTCTTCCATGATCAAGTGACTTGGCTATACCTCAGCTGAGAGAAAAAAAAAACAGGCACTTTGGAATTAGATCACTTAAAGGATACCAATCAACTTTCAAGTTTCAAGGTAAATTCAACGTAATGTTCCACGTTAATAATGACCAACCGAGCAAAAATCACGACTTCAGTAAGTTAGAAACGAAGTATAAAGTTGAATACACTATCGATCAGAGGGCTACGATCAATGAGTGGTAGCCGTTATGGGTCCCCAAAGTATATTAGCTCAGCATATTATATTTCAGTGAAGTAAACTTGTAGTTTGAAGACAGATAGACTTTTCCGCAAGTTCTCAAGCCATTAAGTAAGATCTTTCTGACCTGAAAGCCATCTGAAACGCTTACTGTTTCGGCTAAAATGCCAGCAAGAAACATGATAATCAGCAAGCGATTTCTATAAAGACGCAAAAACCGAAAAGGCCCGCCATGGTCGTAATCCATGAGAAGACTGTACAGGCAACCGAGTCGAACTATCAAACGAGGAAGCCGGCCGTATTGTAAAACTTGGGCAACTCGCAAGAAAGCCTTGAATACATCGCTTGCCTACCAAAACAGGTCTCCGAATCCACCGAGACCATTCCGAGTTGGTTTCAGTTACAAAGTGTGAACGTTTTTATGAAATGCTTAAATATATGCCTTTACGAAAAGTCCATTGTGAGGATCGTTTTTTAGTGGCTACTGTCTGTACAAAAAAGAGTTGAAGCTTATATTATAAAACAAGACGTGCATTGACCGTTAAAGCTTGTGACTGTGAGATGTGCACTGGAGAACTTTCTTTATAATTAAGATTATTGTTTTAGCAAATAGCTGGCCATATGGCAGTTCTGTAAAGCACTCGACCACGATGTGATGCCTGACAGATCATTTGCAACAATGAATAAGCAAAAATTAGATCGATTTCGAAAGGAGATCCTACCTTGGAGTTTATCTATCGACGGCTATATTACATGTGGCAAAAAATATCGACAGACACGTTGCGACCGGACCAGGAAGTCGATACTCCCACTATTGCAGCCAAAATATGATCTGTACTTAATGGGCCACACATTGCGCAAGAAATGAGAAAAAAAAGTTAATCATTCGCGGCATACAGCGCTGACCGGCGCGGTGACTGCTCACGTCGGTAGGCCGACAGAAAGGGACAGGCCCCTCTAAAACCTTAATTGGTCCATAAAGCCTTCAGTGTCTTTACAGTCACGGCTGGTTCATTTATATCTTCAGCGAAGGCGAAGGAAACGAGGAATGAGGGAAACGGCCATTGAGGCCTAAAGTAGGTGATAACTCAGCAAAATACCGGAAGCAAAAGGGACCTAGTGTCACCTATCCGCATTGCTGACCGAGTGGGACATCAAATGATTGTCCTTAAGACTTCTATCACTGCGCCCAATGCAGTGCTATTGCGCATTGACGATATTATGGCTTTTGCGGTGCCTACGATAATTATTTCACTGTAGTAGCTTCCGCAAGGCCAATCTACTTTCGTTACAAGCGTTACTTTCCTCGGACTAACACAAATATATACTTAATTCTGTACCAATAAGGAACTAACCGTGGAAAAACTTACGTCCGCGCCTGTAAGTTGTTTGCTTTTAATAAAAACCTTTTACTCTCGCTAAGAGCTCGTGCTCAATGGAATCTCTGGGTGTCGTTACGTACTAAACGGTCGCTTGCGCTTGGTTGATCACGTTTACGTTTGCAAAACAGGATTACTTTGTTTTTTTTTTTCTAGCCTCTGGCTTAAAAAGTGCTTGAATTGAAAGCGGCACTTAAGAACAGGTCTAATATGATCTCGTAGTTGTTTAAGCATAAACGAAAATATGCGCCCTCTGACCCAGAACTTATTCCTCAACCTTAGGTGGATTAATAGCCTGTATTAATTTTACGACAATACGATAACAGCTTCAAGTGGACAGGTAGCCTTTATCAATATTCCAAAGATCGGCCTAGGCCTTTGATTAAAGGACTTCTTCTGGAGAGATGCATTTCGGTAGGTAGTTGCGATGTTTGGGATTGATTTGAATTAATACCTGACTGTACAAAGATATCTGTGTTCATCTATTAGACAAATTAATGCCATACATCAGCTCCAAGCCATGCATACGTTCCTAAAAAGTGCTATTAATAAATGTTATGGTTTATTTATCCGATGCACTCGGCACTTTGAACGTGTAATAAAACGTATTGCTTGCAGATTTCAATTATGCTGCAAATAAAAGCTAGGGACGCCAACTTGAAACAGCATCGATCACGCAGCATAGTACCTGAAGGGGCAACTAAAAGTCATAAAAAGCATGGTAAATATGGCAAAACGATGATCATCGCCTATGTGATAGAAGCCACGTTATTGTTTAGGTAATTAACTCGTTATCATTAGTTCTTAATATTCATTGCAGAAGTGTGAAGTACACTTAATCATATTATCGATCTTATAGTGAGTCTAGGACTGTAAAAACTGGCCCTCAGTATACAGCGTGTTTACTGCTTGATCTATTTCAAGATTAGATTGGGTGCCAAGATCCTCTTGATCATTTTCGCTACGTACAAATTACAAGACCAGTATGTCTGTGTATCCAGCCCAAAGAGCCGTAAACTCTTTGCACACGGCGGCTAAAGAATTGGGTTGAGAAAAAATATCACGTATCATTTCTCATTTGTATGGCAAAGGAATGTATGTAGGCTAAGTAATTTTTGTCGTCCTTGAGTTAAGTTCGATGTTCCCCCTACACAATCAAACCACTCTATGTAGTAGGCAAACGAGCACGGGAAGACTCTCGAAGCAGAAAAAAATCAAATTCACAAACGAAAAAAACAAAGGTTTTTTTTCGGAAGAGGGTAGGCTGAGCACTTCGTGGTGGAGGTTACGAGATCTTACCAATTAACCAGCCAAGTGCAACAGAGAGCTAAACCCGCGCGACGACAATTGCTGCTACCGCTGAATAGTCACGTAGAACCTAAGTTCTTGTCGCAAATAGCCTGTGACGGCGTCACTGACATAGCGAACGACGACAGTAAAAGCTGAAGCCAAAAGAGCATCATTGCAGTTCGATAAGTTCACCGACGTCGTTACTGATCGACTACCGTCTGGTTTTCTTTGCTTATCTGATCTTTTCCATCTATTACTACTGTTGCTGCTATTATTTTTTTAGACCTTTCCGTTTTCTCTTTCGCTTTTTGCGAAGGACGTGTTGTAAAGGTTTGCCCCTTTTTCATCTGCCCCTTATCCCGGATTGTTCGCTTCTTCTATAAGTCCACCGTTAGCTCCTTCCGATCGACGAGCGGCGGCGGAAGGCTTTGGGTCAGAAAGGCACGCTATTGTTAGTAGTTGTCTGCCTTGAGTAGATTCTTCGATTCTTGAGGAGAATTTTAAGGACGCTGCTTTCAACGCTGTGCTAACTTAACGACGAATAGCGTAATACAAGGGAATTCTTTTATCAGCTTCTTGTGGCAAGCCACTGCATTTGTATGTAATTTTACAAATATACTGCAAGGGTGCGCTGTAGTGCAATGATTATGGTAGCTGTATACGTTAGGATAATTATTTATTGGCTAAATTTTAAATACAAAGCTGCCCGCTAGATTTCGAATTGTACTTAAATAGGAACGCCCTTCGCCTCATGCCTAGCTGTCGCTATGGTATGGCCATTGCCCGGCGAGTCTTTGTGCATTACGGGTGGTCCAGTACTCAGTTTCGCGAGGTAACAGCGTTCAAGGAGATTCGGTTGCGAAGGCGGCCACACAAACTGTCGTTTGCTATCGTTTCTTTCTGCCGTTCTTTCATGCCGATGGTGGCGACAGCAGCGGCAACGGCAGACGCGCTAAAAGCAATGCTTGTGCCCGTCATCGTTGTTGTCCACTGTGACTTCGTCTTGCCGCTTTTGTCGTTATCGGCATCACCGTCATCTCGTCCGTCTCTGTATTTTTTCTTGCCTCGCTGCCTGATCTTCTTTCATTCGTTCTTTCCGTCCTTCTCGTCCTTTCTGTCCGGCTTTCGGACTTTGTGAGGCAGCTCACGTCGACGTGGTCTTTAAATTAAATCATTCAAGCTGGTGATTCTTGCTCTGTTGCTAGCTTACTCGTTCGTTTTTCC